TCCATGAAATGAAACCTGCTGTTTGAATTGGGAGTCATATTACTGAAGGTAATTTTGGAGTTTGAGTGGGCTGTGTACACCCTTTTCAAAACATAAAAAATAATTTGAGAGAAAATAGTAAGAAGACATGTCCAATTCCATTTGAATTCTTGTAAAATGGAAATGTCACTAGCTTTCAGTGTAGCTTTTGGTTACTCTCAGCTGCTAAATACAAATGCCCGACAAGGTGTTAGTGAAAGATAGTAGCACCCTGTACGCTGTATACACAGGTTGTTGACACAAGCAGCAAGAACACTCTTTTGGACAAGGATATAGCAAGGATATACCTGTCTTTAAGATACTGGCATGTGAGAAAAACAAACAAGAAAACAAACTGATTTATAGAGATTACATTGTTTGAAGTGTATCCATCAAGTGCTGAATTTGTCAAATATATTGATGAAATTGTGCTCTGCATGCAAAGTCTGCTAGTCTCTATGCACAAAAAGTGAGTTTTTCTGCATGCCGTGAATGTGCACTCCGATGCAGGGCTTCTCAGTAAGTACTGTTCTTGAAGAACGGTAATCAGATGTGCTCCTTTTTAATGTGGCAAAAAGTATATATTTAAAATACTGACTTTTTAATTTCACATTTCACTAAACAGTGTAAAATAATAACAATGCAGTGACACACCAGGCAACATTTTTATAAACAGCTTTTGACCATGACAGTAGTATACTAGAAGTTATCTTGTTGAAAAATTTCAGATTGCATTCACTTAACATTCAATTTAAACTATTCCAAATGTTTTTACAGTGTTTTATATACAATATATACATTTTCTTTTAGAGGCTAATATTTTCATGCAGGTTCTCTTTACAGTTACAGCTAATGCCGATCCACTTGCTCTAAAATGTCTCCTGAAAGCCTGATCACTTTTTGTATAAGGTAATACAGTAAAAATGAGAAGTTGAACATTATCATGTTAAAGAGAACACAAAAAATATGTACACATTAAGTAGCAAAGTTTTACTTTTTCTTTGAATTCTGCAATGCTCAGGAATGATTAGGCCATTGTTGATTGGGGCTTAAACGTTGAAGATTGTTTTGAGTACAGCCTGCTGAATCTGTGCCAGGCTTTCTCTGAAAAAGAAGGATTCATTTGCATAAAGAGGGACTTCTGGTATGACCATATTAGATAAAATTAGACTCCTCCCTCTGTTTTTCTATTTATCTGCCAGGACCTTTGTGACTCAAGTGCACTTTTTAGTAGCATACATAAAGCCAAAGATGGAGTCTGTGAGCTGAGATCGCTAATGATACTAGACTCAAGTAGAAAGTAAGCAAAAAGGCGCCCGCAAATAATGTGAAACTAGAAGGAACGAAAAGGCTTTGTGGAGCGGCCTCCCTTTGCACAGGGCCGTAGGCAGAAGGCGAGTTCTCTTCTGCAGTCTTTTTTTCAGAGACGAGGGCTGGCAGGGAGCCCAGAACTGCATGGAGTTTGCAGAAGGTTAGTAGAGTTGTACATTAACTTACCGCAGCACAGAATGACAGTTGGACTTTGCTGCTTGCCTCTTTTTTATTTTCCTTGCAAGAAGTTTGCTTGCCACCATGCCTGGGATGCTGTTGCTGATTGCGGAAGAAGTTGTTGTTAGCTGGCCTGTGTGGATAATCTCAAAATGAGGGATTAACTGCTGCGATCGGCCCACATAAGCCATTCTGAAATGTCATTTGAGTGTTTTTGGCCAAAGTTCAAAGACAGATGGGAGCTGGGTTTGCTGTAAACTCTATGAAAAAATGCTGAGTGTTGCAGGAGGTAAACGCCCACGATATATAAAATATAAAAAGCAGCTCATGGGATTGAAAGATAATTGTGAATGTTTACCTGTACTAATTTCTGACAAGATACTTGTATCTTTTTTTCCTTTCATATTGTATTTTAAGTAGCTTGCTTTTATTTGTGGTAACTGTGGTTTCAGTGTCACAGGAAACGCTGTTTATAGAGGAAGGCTCGCTTTCAAGCTGTTGAATTTCCTCTTTAGTTATAGGTCAGCGCCACACATTTTAAAAAATGAGAGCAGATCCAGCAATTATGCTGTTGGTAACTTTGGTTAGGGAGATGTATAGCATTTAGGCCTTAATCCTTTTTTTAGCATATCTGACTTCTGACAAAATCTGACTTATGTTGATATGAATAGAAGGTAGCAGTAATCTAGAGACACGTTTCTCATCAGCACTCCTTGTTTGCATAGCCTTTTTAAAATAAAGATGCTCTAAGAAGAGCAGATACACTTGGATTTAAGCGGGTTTATGACCAATCAAAACTTTTCAGATTTCTTTTATCCATATTTTACATGCATTGTATTAGACATAAAATAATGTTTTTATCAGTTGTGTAAAATATTCGAATACATTAGAGAATGTAATTATTTTCATTACAGGTTGTTTACAAAAACATTTTTCTTGTAGTTTGACAATAGGCTGACTCTACTTGTTTTATAATGCAATGAATCCAAAAAGACTTTCCATTCACTTAGTGTAAATGTCACTCACTTAAAAAAGCTAAAACATTCTATGCATTATTCCTAAATAATAGTTGTAGAGCCTAATGTAGAGTTCATGGGAATTCAGTTTATTCACACACAAAAATTCAAGAAAAAGAGAATACATGAAATAAACATTAAATCACTACTTTTTTTGTTAATGTCTGTAATGAGGGTGTCAAACGTGTGATTATTATTTTTTTGATTGAACTCTTGTTCTATAATAAGTTTCTAAAAGGTTTTATGTATACCTTTTGGTGGACTTGATAGCATAAAATGGTTAGAAACATTAAACATATAGATTATTCTTTGCTAGATTTTTGGAAAATAGCTCCAAAGCAATAAACAGCAAATATTTGAGTGTAATGCTTCTCCTGGGAACTATAACATTTAAAAGTCTTGTCTAGCCTGCATCGCTATTTGTTTACAGACCAAGTTCACCTATAAGGTTTAAGAAGGTAGTGATTTTGCTGTCTCTATGAATTATGTTGTCTTCTTCTGCTGCTCTTTCAGAGGGTTCAGTCGTAAATTCACACGACAAATCACAGATTGGGTTTAGTTAAAACATTTAAGCTTTGTCAGCCAATGAGTTCTGATTAACAAAGTTTTTCTAACTGAACTAATACAAGGCCACCTCCATTTTATTTTTATTGAATATAAATATTTGTCTTCCTATATTCTAACCTCTGAGTCCTTAAATGACACTCTTCAGGTTTGCAGCACTTCCAGGTGCTGTTTGCTGTCAGGATGAAGAGAGGATGCAGCAATAACACATTAATGTTTAAATCTGATTCAGCAAGTTGCACAAAAAAATTGCTGAAATCTTTGTGTGCTTTACAGGCTGTAATTATTGTTGACCAATATGAAAATACTTAAGTTTTAACTCTTATTTGCCAACTGTAGCAGCAATTTTGATTTTACTTGACTGTGTCATGTGGGTCTTTTAAATTATGAGTTGTCCTGAAAGAATCACAGGCATCATTAGCCTAATACCCTTTATATAGTATACAGAGGCTACAGTGAAATTCTTACACTGTTACTATTTAAAGACATTTGGCAATAGCCAAAGCGAAGTCATGCTGGAAGAATAGTGTAGTCTAGTGACTTTTTTTAATGTACCCATCTTTAAAGATGTACTAAGTAATCAATACAGTTTTTCAGCTGTCTTTTGACAACATTTTGTTTGTGGTTGTATGTTACTGCCCCTATTTTTTATTGCATTCATTGTCTGTTTTAAATGGGTAAAGAAACCCAATTATCTCCAGACCAAAAATTCTAGGAACACTTTCAGTAGGAAACATCTTTTTTCCATTAGAGTTTAAACTGTGTAGAATAGCATCCTCAAGTCCTGTTTTCTAGAATGAAGAAAGAGATTAGAGTAAATTCTTAACTGCATTGTGCTTCTGTGTATTACAGTGGTGATGTAGTTTATTTCACAATTTACAATGGCTGTCTTCTGTAAATGAATAAGGAGGATAGTTTGCAGCTAGCTTCAATAGGCTGCTGTTCATCTGTGTCTACTTTTGCACTGGGGGCTATCTCAGTAGTAGATCAAGAAAACTGTAAAAGGAATAAAGATATTCAGGACATCATGGACATGCATTGAAAAGGGCACTTTTTACCCATAGGGTTGTGGGAGTATGGAACAAGTTATCCAGCTGTGCTGCTTCGCTGTCAAAACCAGAATGCTTTTCTTAACAAAATGATTGACCAATCATTTGGACAATTTCTGAGTTCAGATTTACCTGTAGCCAAGATAAAGATAGCTGATTTCAGTAGAGGCATAGAGTCACTACAAATTAACACTGAAGCCATGGTTCGAATTGCAGCATACACTGGCTTCTTTCAAGAAACAGCTGGATGAGATCCTTGGATCAGTTAAAACTTAACAACTAAACTTGCTAGATAGACCACATAGCCTCCTCTCATTTGTAACCTTTCTTATGTTCTAGGACTGAAAATGACACATTGCCTTCAAGCCAATGCAGATGATTAGTCAGTTACCTTGTATATGCGTTGCTGTTTTAATGAAGAAAAAAACACTTTCAGGGGAAATTTAATGACAACCTGGTGCTGATGCCACTGTCGTATTGCCATTCAGTATGCAAGCAACCAACAAAATGTGGTGTTTTCTCCTTTGACAGATGCCCCCAGTAAATTAATGAATTGTCCATTTTACGTAATCCGTTTAGTGTAGTCAAATACAAGAGCGTCTATGGTGAACATGTTACTTTCATTGATGTTCTGTGCTGCTTTGAAAACTAACTTTGGATTGGAAGCATTTCGGTTCATACAGTAACAGTTTGAACAGTTTCTAAATCCATATGGCCTTAAAAGGGAAGTGTTCTCGGGTTGTCCATGTTTCTTTGTGGTCTGACTAGAGAGGGAAGATGACACCTGTTGTGAGGGGGGACCTCACACACGAGAGCAGCTGGTCTCTTGCCTTCTCGTCTTATCCCGGTTTGCTTCGGTCCACAGAAAGACGACACGGCTCATCCAGCAAACCCCCCCCAGCTTCGACATCTCTCTCCGCCTTTCCGCTGTCAACACCGTCGTCGAAAAACAACAAGAGCGGCGGCGGTGGGGGGGGCAGCAGCAACAGTGGTAGCGGTAGCGGCAGCAGCGGCCGCTCGTCCAGTGGCAATGGCGCCTCCTCCAACTCCAAAATCCTGAAACCGGCCAAAGAAAAGCTGCCCAGCATCAGCGGGAACAACAGGCCCATGCACATGCCATACAGCAAGGTGCCTCATGACAAGATGTAAGTGCTGGCTTGTGTACTCGCACTTGACTCGGCATAAATGGATGTAATGCACTGGGTGACGTGTTAAATTTACTGTTCATTTAATCTCTTCTTTGTGGTGCCTTTCCGGCTGCAGTACAACTGCTTCGCATACATTCTAATTGCCCTGTGATTCTTGGAGAAAGGTCCAGATTTGTCCGTTAGTATCAATGAATGTACTAAAATAAGCAAATTGAAAAAAATGTTGCAAGATAATGGCGGTGCTGCCTCTCCACACATGGATATTGATGGAGCTGTATGTTGTTTTAACTAAAAATCCTTGAGATGCGGCAATCATCGTAGTATTTAATATTACAACCAAGGCATCCAATGCCAGGGGGAGTGGGGTGGCTCAGTGGCTAAGGATCTGCGCCTATGGCTGGAAAGGTGTATCCCAGGGCCGGCAGGGGAATCCTACTCCACTGAGCACCTGAGCAAGACCTTTAACCCTAACTGCTCCAGGGGCACTGTACAAATGGCTGACCCTGTGCTCTGACCCTAAGCTTCACTCCCTGTCTGTGTGTCTCATGGAGGGCAAGTTGGAGTAAGCAAAAAGATAAATTCCTAATACAAGAAATTGTATATGGCCAATAAAGTGATCTTATCTTATCTTAGTTCAGGTTGGTAGCTGGATCAGCTTTCGTAGGCTGCAAAGGAACAAGTAATAGGTTTATTCCATGCTGAAAAGAGAAGAAAGAAAACATTTCGGTCGTGGAGCCTTCTTCAGGTGTGAGAAAGACAGGGCAGTAAGCAAAGGTAATGAAGCTTAGGGGAAAAAAAGCTGGGAGACAGGAGGAGCGAGAGGCGGGAGCAGGGGACAGACAGTGGCCAAACAGGAAGTGTGAAGTCAGGATAAGTGAAGAGAGTTGTGAAATGAAACCTACAATGATTAGAGAGAATTTAGAAGAAAATTAGTCTGTCATTGAGAGAAGGGGAAAGGTGTGATCCTAGCAGCAGGATCATTTTAGTTACTGTAGTCTTTCTGATGTTGTAGTTGGAAAAAACAGCTTTGAGAACACAGGTGGAGAGAAATGATCATGTGATCAGTGTGATCATGGCCATCAGAGGTGAAATGAGAAACAATAGGCTTGGAGAAATCTTAAATCTTCACAGCCCTAACATGTTCTCTGAAGCGGTCTCAGTCTCCTTCCTGTTTCCCAAATGTAAATGTCTGGGCATTTACTGCAAGAGATACAGTAAATAAGGTTGCTGGAGGTACAAGATGTCATCTGAGTGATCCAGAATTGTCCTGTGGGGCCTTGAATGAGTGTGGTGTTAGATATGTACTTGCAGGTGATACAGCGAGCTCTGTTGGGAAAGTGCCTGGTGTGGATGTTTGCTGAGGGCTGGTCAAGGGAGCTGTGAACAAGAAGGTTACGCAGATTAGGTGGTCGGCGGTATGAGATGATGGGGTGATCAGAAAATTTGATCTTTTTCCTGATATCAGGAACATAGAAACAGGGAGCAAGGTGGGATTGTCCCCTGGATGGATTAATAATTTTGTGCATCCTGTTTTGCTGCTAAAGTAAAATAGCCCAGTGAAAGAATGTACAGTCAAGATAATTCCTAAAAAGGTTGAGCTGCTTCTTTTAAAACTATACTCTCCTTTGCTGGAATACATATGGAGTAATCCACTGTACAGGTCCACAGGCCTGGAGTGTGGGTTGACTGCATCCCTAAATACTGTTTTCTGAGGGGGATTCTTGGGACCTGTTTTGTTGGGGAGGGAGTTGGTTGACGCCAGATAAGGGTTGATGGGAGGAGATCTTTGGGGAAAACATGACTGTTTCTAAATTTGTTGTGATTATGTGATTGTTGTTTCCTAATGCAAAGAATTACTTCAACCTTAGTGATCCTTCAAAAACATGAATTTTGTTTCATTTTCTGTTTAGCATGACTCCTTCTGTGAAAGTGGAAAAGATGCCTCTAAACGCGAGAGTTGACGGTGCATCGTTAAAACCTGTTCCGGGTCCCACCTCTTCTACCACTGTGAGCTCCTCAATAAAGCCAGGCCTTAACTGTCCCTCAATACCAAAGCCACCCCTGCTGTCTCCTGGACAAATTCCCAATGGGAAAGGTCTTCTCTCAACGCCTGACAAGAAGCAAGATGACAGTAATATCAGTAACAAGAGACAGCTGCACAAAAGACTGTCGGGTGAGTAACAGCTCCATTTGCCAGATTCTACTACTTTACACTATAAAGGGAGGGTTTTTTCTTAATATTTTGTTTGTAGCTTTCAGAAGTGTGACCTCATTTAACATTAATTGCAAGCATACATTTCAATGCTGACAGCTTTAACATTAGTAATTATCATATTTCTATGAGGCATATTCTGTTAAATTTTAATAATGGTGGTCACTACAGAGGTAGAGTCCTTAAGATCTTGTAATGATGTTGTTTTACTTCTTATCAGAGCGTGAGTTTAACCCTGATTTCCACTGTGGGGTTCTGGATCTAACAACACGGAAGCCATGCACAAGATCTTTGACATGCAAGGTTAGTAGAGATGTCTTAAATTTAAATTCCTTTAGAGGCAGAAGGGTGTCCTCAGGGGCTCAAACAATACCTTCTTGGAAAGTATGTTGGGCGTTTTAGTTGAGAGACAATAAGTTCAAATCTATGTTGTACCAGCTGTGATTACTGCCGTACCTCTAGTGGTGGCACTATAAAGTAGAGCCCTGCAGTGGGATTGGGATCTTGTGGGACCCAAGCTAATTGCTGTGGGCGCGAGACATTTTGTCTGTTGCAGGCGGTTGTGGGATAACTTAACTATGGGTGGTTAAGTAACAGTGAATCTGGACTGTTATTATATATGCTGATTAAGTACTGAGAATACACTTAATTTAGAAAAGGCACACTGATAGCACACAGCAAAGAAGCAATTTCCTTAATCTGCCAGTAGGAAATCATACAGCTAGAACTTCTGTGATGTAACACACACAGTACAGTACAGTGTGTGAGTGCTGATGTGCACATGGCAGAATCCATGTGAATCTGCCAGATAAATCCTTTTTATTCATGGTAACTTAAACTAATTGAAAGATTTTTTTTTCAATTTACAGGCTTTTACATAACACATTACCACAGAGGCCTTTTTGAGAGCTTTAAAGGGCTGATAAAACTGAATGTTTTAACCTGCATTAGTTAATTAAAATATTACATATTGCCTTATTAGTAGTTTCATATGCTTTTTGATTAGGTATGCCTACAATAATGCAATAACAAATATTCATATATTAAAAACTGAGTGAAGAAGGTATTGCAGGGCAATGTGAGACTTGGATTATTGCGTGTGCGTAGGGAAATGGTCAGGTTTTCTTGTCAAAGCCAGACATCCGTGGCACAATATTAGCGGTAGCGGGTGGGATTCAGATAGAGACAGTAGTCCCATGCAGAGCTCTCCTATGGGTCTTGTATTGTGAAGAGGATGCCGAAGGCCCGGCAGTGCAGTTTTCAGAGGGCCTTTCCTTTGCAGAGGAAGGGAAAAATAATACTTGTAGCTTTGAGAAATATAAAAACTGTCAGTCTGTGGTCTCATTAAAATTTAAAAAAGAGTGGTATGGTACATAAAAACTAGGGATTGGGGGGAAAAGGTGCATTTAAAATGAATAACATCCCTTTAGAAGCTGAGTATGGATTGTTTCCAACAAAGCAGATGGTTAAGTGCAAGTTTCCTCTTTCCTCAGACACATTCCTTAAGCCAGCGTAGAGCAGTACTGGGTCGAAGAAAGCGCTTTGACGCTTTATTAGCTGAGCACAAAAGTAAAACCAGGGAAAAAGAGCTACATCGGAACTCGGAGTGTTCTCAGCAAACCACCCCTCTCAGGGAACCTCACCCCCCCCAAGAAACACACCAAATTTCTCACGGAAACAACCCCGCCGAGTCCAAGCCTTCAGCACCAAGTAAAGCTAAACCTCACAATCCTAGTCTTCCACGGTGAGTGTCTTTTACACTACTCAGTTGTTTTTGAAAATGGTATTTACCCTTAATTACTCTATAGCCAGCTTCTTAATTATTTTAAGGGTCAATATAGCCAAGTGCTGCTGTGGAACACTTTTTCAGTGCCCATTTTGGCATGGATCCACTTTCACTTTAATTTCTCATTTACAGTGAAAGCCCGTTTCTCTTCACTGCATGCAAGAGAGAGATTTAGAAATTTACTATTAATTTATAAGTGATTAAAATTTGTCTCTTCACTTTTCACTAGGTGTAGCTTGCACAGATCTATTAAAAACAGCTTTGGAATTTTAAAGCAAGAAAAAAAGTATCTGAGGACAAAACTAAATAAAATGTATGTATCTGTTAAAAGATGAAACGTCAAAAGAAAGATGTATACTTATATAATTTAAAATTATTTATAGTGTGTTAAATACATGTATACAATTTAGCCCTTCAGAGATCTACATTTATTTGTGCACTGATTGTCACACATAAGGCTTAGCTTTGACAGATCTCTGTTTACATCTTCATAGTGTACCTCAAATATCTATTCAATGCAGTGATAACTCAGTGGAAAAAAAGTGTTGTCTAGCAGCAGCATAAACCTGAATTTTATTTCCAGCTATGTCTTCATGCTATTAACTACATCACCTTGCAAACTGTCAGTCATTGCTCTTCTCTAACATCCTTTCAATATGTATTCTTTTTACAAGAAATGAGTCTTGTGGCCCTTCTCTAGACTTCTGTATGCTTTTATGATATCGAGATGTTTAACTGGTGCAATCTTCACATTGTGTGATTTAGTGTTTATTTCAAATGTTAAGAAATAATTTATTTACAAGGTTTATGATTTTATAGGATGTTTTGGATGTTTGACTTTATTTTCAGGTAAGCCTGCATATATTTTTATTAACAGAGTGGTTTTGTAAACTAATTGGGAACATTTGCCTATGCCTATGCAGACCCAATATTTACTCCACGCACCCTGTTGGGAATGTCTCCAGTGACCCTGCTTCAGTCCACGAGTCTCCCCACCACTCCACACCAGCAGCTGAGACAGCGTCCCGGCTCTCCAGCGATGAGGGGGAGAATGAGGAGAAGGAAGACACTGTGGACAAACTGGATTGCCACTATTCATGTTATCACCCACGACCAGCAGCTGTAAGCATGCTGTCTTCTTCACAACTGTTTTTACATATGTTTAAAGAAAAGAAGAAGCTTGAAATGTATTTAAAACATTTGGGGTTACATTCAGTACTAGCTTCTGGTTTGAGTTTGAGTATTTTTCTGACTAGCAATTAATTCAAGGTTGTGGCTGTCTAGAACAAGCTACCCCAGCCTTTTTTTGGTCGACACGCTGACTTCTTTCAAAATTTGACTGGATAAGTTCATGTCAATTAGCCATTAATAGGCATTTTGAACTAATTTGTCTCCTTTTATTTGTACTGTAACTCATTGTATAGTACGTTTTGTATTTCACCATGTTATTTTTTTTTTAATCTTTCAAAAACTCAAACTTATTCCTGTGTAGATATTTTCCAAAGTATTTTTTTTAAAGTAAAATTTAATCTTACTATTACTCCCTGCTGTGCTCACTTATGAGAAGTTATTGCATTATTCTTATGGTCCATATGTTGTTTCATAATACAGTATCTTAAAAAGGTTTGATTTCTTAATAACGATGGATGGACTGAGGTGTAATTTCTAACAGGTTAAGGATTGTGATTTTTTTTTTTAGTTTTGCTCCTTTGGCAGTCGGCAGTTTGGTAGAAGCTGCTATGCTTTCGACAGACGATGGGATCGTGTTCGATATGCACTTAGCGCTATGGTGGATAAGCACGTGAATTCTCAAATGTGGAAGTGAGTTGCTGTTTCACATAGAACGTGAATATTACATTATTTTTACATGCAGGTTTTCTTTGTTCCTTTAATCTTTGCACAAAGCATAGAGTTAAATAACATCTAAAAAAATAGTCTATGCTGAGTTGTTTTTTTCCTTCTGGTATAACCAAAACATTTAGCTTTCTTTCAAAATTGTTGATAGTCAGGGTTTTTGGAAATAATTTAATGCGAAAGCTATTCTGTAGCATTAGGTGAATCATCTAGTAAATAAAACTGTACTGTCTTGCAAATCTCCATTGACTTTTAGGGTAAAAATATCAGCAGAAACCCTGAGACGCTCAACGTCCCAACACATTATTAATAAGAACCTTTCTGTGTTTCAGCAGAAGTTGGCTTTATAAGAATCTCATTAAGTGAATGCAAAGGCATAACAATTTATTTGGACTGGCTTTACTGAGTATGACCTCCTGGACCCATTTAGCTAAATTTAACACAATGATTGGTAATTACTGTGAAACTACTTTACTACTTTAACAATTGCCACACAATTGCCACGCACAAAATAAAATGCAAATATTAATCTTTGTGAAGTTGTAACAGCTAGAAAGAGTTGTGTGCCGGAAGGTTTAAATTAAGACTAAAACAAAAAATATCACTATTTCCAGTGACAAATATAGTATATTTAGCTTAAATATGATGAAGGATAGAAAGTCCTTTGATAAAGCTTGAAAGTGTTAAGTTTTTGTTCAAACTAGAACTGAATAGAATTCCTTTGTATTGTTTAGGTGTTTAACTTCTGAGAGAGTTGCTTTTGGATTTCATTTGTTTTTATTTTTAAAATAATTTTCCAGTTTTCTGAAATAACAGGAAGTAGTCGAATTATTAGGGTAACAATTAAATGAAATGGGTCTATCCACTAGTTTTGAACTTTCTGGTGTTAGTCCAGTAATTTGTCCTGTGTTGGTTTGGAAATAATATGTACATAGACACAACTAGTGACATCTTCTGTTTTACAGGAAAATTCCTCCAGTGTCCGAAAACACAGCGTCCACAGCGCCACACAAGACAAGCACAAGCTCTTTGCCTATGTCACACTATGGTGTGAATGCCACAGGATTCCTGTGCCCCTCCTCAGTGATGCCCTCACCAGTGCTGGTCTCCCCTCCCTATGCGCAGTCTTTTGACAGCAAATCAATACTTTCATACGGGACTACTTTAAGTGCCCGTACTTCTCCGTTGAGTTCTATCGACCATGCTGCATACAACACGCAGTCGAGACAGGTGTCTTCTTCGCCCCAAATGCCTTCAGGACACTCAGCAGTACCTTCCCTGTTATCGAGTAGACCTCAGAAATCCAAACCCAGCAGCAAGTCTTTCAGATCCAAGGAGCCTTCTGCAACAATCACTAACTGTAACAGCAGCAGCAGCAGCAGCAACAACAACAGCAGCAGCAGTAGCAACAGCTCGGGAAAGAAAAGGAAAAACAGCTCCCCGCTGCCTGCTTATTCGTCTTATTCTGCAGAGTCACCTTCTTTCAAGAAAAACTGTGCAGTGAACTCTGGCAGCTCAGGGAGCATGTACCACGCATCGGTCACTTCCTCATCCCATGGCAGCGTCCACAACACGGGCCTCAACTGCAGCACCAACAGGACAAACTCTCTCAGCCTCAAACACGACCAATCAGGGAGGGGCCCTCCATCGGGGAGCCCCGCAGAATCAATAAAGCGAATGAGCGTGGTTATGAAAAGCAGCGACTCCACTCTCTCGCTTGGACCTTTCGTTCACCAGTCCACGGAGCAGGCTGTGAACTCGCACAGTGGCTTCTCGCACCCTCACGCTCCCATGGACAGGCTAGAAGGGAAGAAGCGGAAAGGCTCCCCCGCTTCCAGCAGCGTTAACAGCAGCAGCAGCAGACCCAACAAAGTGGCCAAGTCGCCTGGAGTGAACAACATCCATGCAAAGCATGGCCGCACAATCCCAGGGACACAAGGACTTCCAAACAACTCGCTAATACAACAGGTACTCAATTCAATTTATTTTTGTATAGCGCCGTTCACAACAAGGTTGCACTAAGGCACTTAACAATGCACGTAACCATACATTTTATGAATACAGAGCAGAAAAGACTAGAAGACAATGTAGGAGAGGAACCAAAAACTCCTTAGTAAGGAGAAAAAAAAGCTCTAGGGGTCCAAGGTCAACTGGCTGCCCAACCCCTTTGGGCATGCTAATATTATATAATTTTTAAAAAAGGAAATAAATGAATGAAGGTATTAATCCATCCATCCATCATGTCTTCTCTATGTCAGTACTCCATACAGATCTCTGTAGACCAGCTAAATCCTCCTAAACGATAGCTATATCCACGATTCCCTCTTCGATCCATGGCAGTGATGCAGCATCCAACTCAGTGGGTGCTCAGTCCGGGTGCCATCTGGACATGTGGGGAGGAGAATAGGATAGTTTGGTCAAACAGATGCATCTACCTGGTGGGCCATCACAGAGACACGCTTCTTCTGTTTTTACTTGTTCAAATTCAAGGTGTCCGTCTTGTCTGTCAATAAAGTACAGCTCTCCCTTTAAAAATAAGGCTTTCAAGCCTCAGACAAGGCAAGGAAGTTTGGTGATCAGCAGGGATGGAGTTACAAAGTGGACAGTATAAAAATTAGGCATTTTTTCATGTGTACAAAACTGTTGGGGGTAGACACTCCTGCCTACACACTGACATATTTCTCATTCCTTGTATTAAAGCTATTGTGAAACAAGTAATATATTTATATCTGAAAAACTGACCAAGGCTGGGGGGTATAACATACTGTATGAAGTAGCTATACACAGAATTTGGCAATTTTATTCTTTGGCTTAATATGAATGTTAAGGTAAAAGATTGAAGCCCATGATGTGGTATACAGGACTAGAGTTCATTCTGGTTTCTTCAGTGTTACCTAGTACAGGACCAGTGCTAATTTAGTCAGTCTTAAATTTAGTCTTAGTCAAGTCAACTAGTGCCTATTAGTCATAGTCATTTTCTAGTCACCCACTTTTAATGATCTAGTCGACTAAGTTTTGACAATCATTAGTCTTACTTTTAATCAACTAAAACAGATTCAGTTTTAGTTAGATTTTATTCAAGCTGTTTAATTTAATAATAAAATATATCAAATACATAGAAGATGATTAAAAGCATCTCCAAGAAAATATCTAATACATCTGATAAATCTTTGTTGCACAATCTAAAGTGTATCGAGTCCCAGAAAGTTCAAATATCAAACACAAGAAACATTTGTGCAATAAAGTGTTAATAATAAATCATCTTCAAAAGAGACATTGTATGAATCTTTCCTAGGAAAATCTGTTTTTGAACTGTTAATAATAATTCTGTAAATTTATTTTTTCAACGCAATATTGTTATGAATTTGTTTTGAGGCTCCTGACAATACTGAATTTGCAATAACTATAAGGGAATTCCTGCATGGGTTATTAAAAAATATTAATAATAGGACAGGATAAGCGATACATTCTTTAAATTAACTGGTATAGTATTATAACTAGCCCTTTTGACGCCATAATATTTCCATTGAACAACTATATAAGAGTAGTGTAAGAGTAGGTTAAGTGCTTTGACGTCATGCTAGTATCATGCTAACACAGTGACAGGCCTGTGCTGCAGGTGTGTCAGTGCTTTCACTCAACATTCTTCTGAAGAAATAAGTAAATAAGAAATAAATGCAGGCACGTGCTGTAAGATATCGACGCTATGATATTGAGTATTTTCTCACTTATCTTAACACTTAGCCATATAAACAAACTACATGTAAATAAAGAGCATTCTCTTCAGATGGCTGTTATATGCTGTGAAATATAAAGTACACAAAAAAGCATTTTACAAACTAACATTAGTTTCTGATTAGAACACTACTACGAAGCTGAAATGCAGCGCGTGTGGAGTGTTCGACCAGCTCTCACATTTTAAGAGTAACTTCTTACACGTTAATCTCTTGCCAAAACAGAAAATAGTAATTTCCTAATGTGCAAAAATATGGTTTATTCTTGCTTTGTTTTTTAGTTCATTTTTTAGTAGTATAAAACTTATTTTTTATGCAAAAGTGTCTGAAATGCAGTGCTCTGACTTATATGGCACTTCAGTTTTTTGTAGTTTTCATAATTTAGCTGCGTTTTTTTTATCTTCTGTAATGTTTTACGATAGCTTTTTGGTTTGCTCGTCCTATATAAATTACTGCCAGACTCCAGATCTTTTTCGTCCAGTTGAAAACATGTATCACAAGCATTCCTTGCATCTCCATGGCTTTTCTTTTTATAAAAAAGGCGAGGTGCTCTAGTTTTAATATTTAATCTAATTACTACAGTGTATACATCTCATTGTTTATCTGGATACCAACCAATTAACAAATAATAAGAATTCCTAACATGAACTGTGGAAGACTGGCTGGAAATGAGGGACAGATAGAGAACATGCAGGAACATGGCGCACCCTGATACTTGCGATTCTCACATCCCTGGGATTATACTGTTATAGCCTGCCTGCTATTGCTCAGACCAAGTAAACGCACAAACTTCATGCGACGAAATTCATTTCAGTATGAGTTTTAGGCAGATGTAATTTCATCTCTTCTTAATTCACTCAAACAAAAATCCAAGGCAATTTAGTCATAGTCATTGTGGGTTATTTTCGTGAGCGTTTCGTCTTCACTAAAATGAAAAACAGGTGGTTCATGAACATTTTCGTTGCCTAAATTAACCATGTACAGAACAAATCTAGTACCCTTCTATAAAGCTGGTGTGACTGAAGTATTGGGTTAAAGGCAATTGTTCAAAGGTATGGTTGTAGTGTTTGTATTTGAAATTCAGTTGCAAACCCCTCCGCTAAAGAATGAGCTTTTACAACTTCTCAATGTTGCACCGTTGTGAACATCCCCCAGCTATACTAAGAAATTTGGTCAACTTCAGTTTATAGGTGAAATAGAAGAGGACCAATTCAATGAAGTAGTATTGTTTTAAACTTGTACTTATGGCTTTTCCCTCTTTTTTCCAGCCAAAGGCGCGTCCCTGACGACTGCTGTTTTAGTTCTTGCTTCGAAAAAGAACTGGACATCAAGCAGAGACATACTGGTCCGGTACTCTGATTTTCAAGAGGCCTTTGTTATCTCAGCTTCCCATGTTCCTCAGGGCTGGAGCTCTACTGAACTGTCAAGTTACATCAAGGAATTCCCCAAAGCCATGTCTGTAGCAATGCCACAGTCGAGGTTCCATGCCAACACTGGATGAAGATCCATCAGGCTGTTGCTCTAATCAGTGTTAATAGTGGAAAGGACATGCTGACTACACATCTATGAGGTTGTCCTTTGAAGAATAGTGTATGCAGTGACCTCACACTAAAATATAAGGTACAGATAAGGGCTGGGCAACAAGTGGTGGGTTAATGCCTGCGTATTTGTACCCAAAACCAAAAGTTGCATGAGGGAGTGACCTGTGTGTTACTAATATGATGCTTTGGTTTCTACCAATCTCTTCCTTGTAGTTGGATGCAAGTGCACAATCTGTGTGTTCAGCAGGACAGACTCTGCAGAACTACTTGGATTAAAACCTAAAAAGCCTAGCTTCTGAGTAGGCAAGTAGGGGTAAGAAACTGTCAGGAGTTTTTTGTTTTAGACACAGATCACTTTGACGGTCACTGTTCAGTTTCTCGGGAACATTATTTTTGTTTCTGACTGCTTATTTGTTGTTAAATCATTTCAGTATTTTTAGCATTTATCCATCAATTAATTCTAGATTGATATTCAGCTGCTGAAGCATAACCATTTGGAGCCACTGAATATTGTTCATGCCCCCATTTTATGCAAGTGGTAGTTTACATTACATTGAAAAAAAGGTTTTATTTAGAGGGAGAAACGTTCTGTGTAGCACTGAAAAGACCAAGCATTGTGAGTTTTTTGTTCTAAATAAAATTTTCAATGTGATATGACAATGAAGTTCCTCTTAAATAGGGAAATGCTGACTCTGCAGATGGTTGTGCATTTTAGCAATTGCAATTACACTTAATTGTTACACGTGTCACCTTATAATGTGAATATAATTGCCTGGATGATTGGATTATGTCACAATTTTTTTTAGGTTATTATATACAACCTGTTGGTCAAAAGGATACAAATATATAAGTGCTTAGTCTTTAAAGTAAATTTCACTTCAATAATCAGCGATTACTACACTAAAATTCAGATATTATTTATTTCTATTTTACCATGAATTTATGAAGTTTTTACATCAAACAGTTCACTAGAATTTATGCTTGTGGTTATTTATAAACCAGTGATCCTTAACTTCTGTAGTTTTCTTGCACAGTTTTTCAATTGTTAGCTTTGCAAACTTACTGATAGGAGTTTTAAGTGAAGTGAAGGCAGTTACATACAGTGGCTATTTATTTTAACTCCTGAGGTTTTCTTAACCCTATCTGTCACTTAACGAACAAAATTATAAAGCAGAGTCAGTTTTGTATCTTTATTTTGGCTTTTCTTGTAATGGATTATACAAATATTGAAGTATCCCTATTTCAGAATACATATTTTGTTAAAAATGTACATATTTAAATATGTATTTTTGCACAGGCATTTTTCTTATATCCAATTTTGGTACAATTGAGATCATCAATATTTATTTATTTAGTAAATAATAAATAACAACTTAAAGGACTTTTATTATTTGAAGTGGTTCACTGCCAAGCCAATAATGCAATATGCCTATAACAGAAATTGATGGAGATTTCTTTACTATGTACTGGGATTATTTGAAGGTTAAGTGTTGTCATTGAGCTCTGTCATATGGAAAAGCAAAGAAAATCTTAATTCTGGAAGGTCTTACAGTTTTGCTTTTTCATGTTGGTTTTCCAGAGATGCAAGGTGAGCAGAAAAACTCCAGTCTGACCAGCTCAGCCTCACAAATGTCCAGTATGTAATCAGTAACATCCCCAGTTCCTTTCTGGCAGCACTTTCCCTTTAATGTCTTGGGAGTAGGGCAATTAGAACAAGGAAGAACAACTTTAAAACAATGCAACTGCTTGCATCATTGTTGCCAAACGTTTAATTTGAAACACTGCTTTTTACTGAAGACTTTGTTTGCAGCTTTTAGAAAATAATGGGGAAAAAAGAAAGTGCCTGAAAATAGTTTCACACTATGACTGTTTTAAGGACAGCTGTTTTTTATTTTTTTTATAAGACTTGAATGTTTAAAATTGTTTAGGAGCTTGCTTTTTCCACCTGACAGTGGTTCTTAATTGTGGGAAAAACATCAAAACTTATGTCAGCTAGCCTCAATGTCAGAATCTCTTCTTCAGAAGATTATGTACAGACCTGACTTATTTTGAAAACCATAAGAGAAACATTTTTGGTTTTCCCATTCGGTCTGGTGACACTGATTCTTTTAGACTACTGTTGAAATTAAATCCAGTTCTGTTTCAAGAATGAAAACTGAGCTTAATAAATGTTGGCCTCCATGTGTTTTGTTAAGATCCAACTATTTAAACTAAAAGAGAAATCTCAAAAGGTGTTTTGTTTACCTTAACATTCAAACTTTTCTGACAGTTCTGCCAGTGTCTCCAAAACATAGTACTATACAAATCTTTGTTTGATTAAGCACTACACGTATGTAAATGTGAATTAAAGCCAGAACGCAGCTTGCTTGTTGAGAATGGTTCTAAAAGCAAACTCCTGTGTAAAGTGTGAATAGTTGATTTTTGTATACATAATCAAATGCATTTGATCAGCTGGACTTTTTGTGTTGGCTGCTATATAATTCATGAACAAATGTAGTAGGATAGAGATTTACTTTAAATATTTAAAGAAAGATTGTATAGTCTATTTGTTTTGTAACAGGTTTCTGTAAATAAAAAAATAATTTATACTGTTATTTATACGTAAAACAAGTCTTGGCTTCTTTTTCTGATTTGTTCCTTTTTATGTTCAGTAACTCAGTGAAATCCGTAGGGATATGGTAAGCATAACACTTTAGGAGGGCACGTACTAAATGAACATACTCATGCACTGTCCTTAGCATAATGATTTTATCTTGAAAGGTGGAGTACAAGATAAAATCTTTTTTTTCATAGAAACATGCTTCAATCTTAAAAATTTTAATGAATATGGTAAACCCCTAACCATGGTAACCTATTATGGAATTTGACATTACAACATTAAGAAAATTTTTAAATGCTTAATAGAAAAATTAAATCAGTTTTAAATGCAAAAATATTCTTTTATAGGGTAAACATGGGTCTTCATGACCATTAATTTGTGCTCCACAAATGCTAACCCTCCTTTCAATTACTGTCACTAATTCTTAGAAATGTTGTGATTACTGGATTCAATTAGCTCTAGTTGTCTCTAACAGTCCCGAGACAATGCTCCCTGACTTTGATTGGCTGGGACAATGTAATTGGAATTTTGTAGTATTTTGATCAAAAAGTGTGGGGGTGTTACCCCATCATCCTGGCCAAATTTCCTCTGGCTTTAGCTAAACATAGCCTTCTAATAATCCCCACCTCTTAACTGGCTTCCTTACTCTGTTCTCCTCCCCACTGATAGCGGATGAGTGACAAGAGCATTGACGCACTTTGGCTGCCGTCGTTTTATCCAGGTGGGTGCTGCATATAGGTGGAGGTGAGTCTCCACTACCTGTAGAGCACTTTGAGTGGAGTTACCAGGAAAGCCCTATATAAGTGTAAGAAATTATCCTATTTTTATTAACTGCTCAAATCTTGCTTGAATGCTATATTGTGGTACACATAATGCACACTTAAAACTACCTGCATTTCTGAAAACTGTTACTACATGCATCACTAAATAAGCATTACATTACTCTCAAACCTTTAAATTCTGTACAAAATGGTACTGGTTTCTGTGGCCAGTTTAATGGGTTGCTAATGAAACATTTGTATGTAGAAATCCCACCAGGGCTTAGTGCAGAGGTGGCCATTCATGTAATTTCTCCCAACTCTTGTCCTAGGGGACCAGTCTTGTTTTTTGTTCCAGCCAGGTTCTTAATTACAAGCTGATCAAGGTGTTTTTAAGTTTGCTTTTGGTTCATGAGTGGTATTTGTTATCTATATAACCACTGGACCAATTTCTGAGAAGTTGTTTCCCTTACTAACATTTTCATAACCCACTGGATCTCCATGGAAAGAAAATTAAGTTTTGATACATTGTAATTTCTTTGTTTCTGTTCACCAAAATCAACTTGATCATTGTTGTTCAGAATAATATGGGACCAATCCTGTATGAAGTTGAAGAGAGCATGACATTTGCAGTGCTGTAGTTGCTACAACACAATGCAAGTACATGTATACTGTATTTTAAATCAAGGACTGCAGAAAAAGGTGAATGAAAGTATAGGAGATTAAAACCATCAATTAGCACTAGTGATTGAGTTTTAGTTGAAATTAAACTTAGAAGGTCCCCTGTTTTATGACGGTCTGAAAAGTGTTAACCCAAGTTAAGATCAATTAAAATCATGATGAAAGTTAATTTGTGCAAAGAAAATAAAAGGCACACAGAACCAAGAACCCCTGCTCTAGAGAACTAATTTTTTACATGGAACATTTTTAACTTTCAAAAAGATGTTCTTCGATTAATACAGAGGTTGACCTGTGACAAGTGAACAAACCGCTTTTGCTAAATTGAGACATTTCATGTGCTAAGGTGTTAAATATAAAGATAAGCTAAAGTAACTCTTGGTATTGAGATCCCTACCACATAAAGGCTGAGATTCAAACAACTGATTTGAAGTATGAATGTAGAATCCTTTAATGTGAGAGAATTGGGAGAAGGTTCTGCTTGCTAATAAATATCCTTGGCTCATTTGACTGCCGCTGCAAATCAGTATTGATATGTTTCTTTTTTAAAATATAATATCACTTTATTGGCCATATACAATTTCTTGTATTAAGAATTAATGATCTAATTTATCAGTTATAAAATTTTCCTGAATAATTTAATTTAATCCATTCTTCTGAGTAGTTACAAATGTTGCCTTTCTAAATGATCACTAATGACATTAAGGAGCAAATAAAAATACATGTAGTTGCAACTGATTTTTTGAAAATTTTATTATATACACTTAATAGTTAAACATACTGTGGACAACTACAAACTGTTACATGAAATATTTTAGTACTATCACTCAACCTTTATATTTCATTGCCTGAAACCCAAAGTTTACAATACCAATCTTTATACATTGCATGTTACATATTGATAACTCTGGAGAGCTTTTGGACTCTGTTCAATAGCAGATCTCCTTTCTTTATGGTCTCCTGGTACTGCCAGTTCTTGCTGTCAGGCCTGAAAAGAACAGAAGCCATTTAAGGGAAATTATCTCTTGCCACAAAACTAAACAAATTATATTCTGAACAGAACAGCACGATATAGAAAATACAAAGACAGTATAAAATCAGTTAAACTGTTCTCAGATATATTTTTAAGTAGTTAGTTTAAGGTTATAGCAATGTCCTACAGTCTGTTATTTTCCAAATTATACTGTACCTGTTTGTTTCCACAATCTCATTCACTTTGTCTATTTTGCAATGTAGTCTACCAGCTGCAATAAATCTGGAAAGTTCTCTGTAAAAGGAAAAAATTGCCCAGATTAAATTAGCACACATTGAAAACCTGACAAATTAACAGAGCAGGTTCATTGGCAACATTCCACATTGACATTGATCTGAGAAGTGTCAATGTTAGATGTCAAGCGTTCTTGGTTTGATTATTGTGACCGTGCCGAATGCAACTTACTGATCAATGAACTCCACGCCGACTCCGAAGGCCTCAGCCATGTAGCCCAGAGTCAGTGAGCGATAAGACTCAAGCAACTGGCTGTAGGCGTGGATTCTCATCTCTCTGACATAGTAACGATAATGGGGTGCAAACAGCCAGTCTTTCTTCAGCTCCTGTTCCACAGTTGCTGCAAAAAAAAGTCCAAGACAAATGTTTAAGGAGAATGCAGTTATGTTACCTTTGCTTCACAAAGAGGTACACATTGAATAAATCAAGTGGATCAAGCCTTCAGCTTGCTGAAGTCAAGTTCTGCACAAGTGCTTTGCACTAGACAGCAGGGTGGTGGTTGCCACGCATGTCACACAAACCTCTTACTTCCTCATTGCTAATCCTACAAACACATCCTGTCAGCATGGTGCAGAGAGCTGGCACTCACTACAATAAGCACTTCCTTGAATTTCTGACAAACACCATCATTAAAGTTTGGGTTTGAACACTCAAATGAGCTCCTTTTCACAGCGCCAAAAACACGAGCAACTTGTAAAATGATCAAAGGGGGACCTACCCAAAGACTGAAAGAAAACCGAGTACCGGCACTCATACAGAGAGAATAAGTACTGTCGAACAGCAGGTAAACTGTGCAACACCTCCAGGATCTCTGCTCCTTTTATTACCTGGATTACAAGAGAAAGAGAAATAGAAAAAAAAAAACTGGTTCAATGTTATAGTAAAGGGAAGATAATTTTCAAAAGATTGCTTTGAAGAAACTAAATTCAATTTTTTTTGCCTACGGTTTCAAAACACTATTGCCTGTGCTCTGAAGGCAGGTGAAGTACAAAATGGGTTCCTTATTAAAAAAGTATACAATACAGTGGCAAACAGCTCCAGGACTGGAGTGCTAGCTTCTTTCTAGGTTTTATGCTATCTTCGGCCTTAAAGACTTAATTGAATTAAGGGGAGAAAGGTGTCACATTGGCTAAGTTTTCTAGCTCTTATAAGCATTTTATAAGGTGCCTACAGAACAGAGGTGATCTAACTCCATTCCTCAACAGCCACTGGCCTGCAGATTTTCTAAGTGTCTTTAAAATCCCAGCTCCTTAAGAACATAAGAAAGATTCCAAACAAGTGGAGGTCATTTCTACTCTGTTTAGTAGTTAGTAGTTTATTATTTATCCAAGGACCAACTGTTTCCTTAAAAAAAAGCCAGGTTTTAACAATGTGGCTGGGTTCCATACTCTCACAACCCTTTGCACAAAAGTGCATCCTGTGCTCAATTAAACACAGTTCCACATACTTCCCACTTGGGGCCTCTGAATTGTGAACCACTGTTCATCTGGAAGCCGTCCGAGTTGTCTTTGTCAACGCTTTTCAGAATTCTGCAAAGTTGTATCAGGTCCCTTGTAATCTTCTCAGTTCAAGACTTAAAAAGATTTGGTTCCTTCTGCCCTGAAGGCAGATACCTAGAATGTATCGGCTTGCTGTTCTCTTGTTATTATCACAATTGCACATAATATTCTAAATGAGTCTAAAACAAGTAGTGCATTACACAACTTGAACATAACATCACTTACTTAAATGAGAGAACTATATCCTATTTTGTTTGCCTTTTACATTGTTTTCCTTAAAAAACAAGGAGAGGGTTCAACTCTGAGTTCAATTAAGTTATAAATTGGCTCAGATGGAAAGAAAACAAGAAACCTTCAGGCATTCCAAACCAAAACTGCACTACAACATACAACAACCCAATACTCAAGGAAACTCCAGTCCATGAAAGCCACAAGCCAAATCTTTAAATCTCAAAGTGCCTTTGATTAAAGGCTTTGACTCGGGTAGGCATCACAAGTCTTCGACAATGAGGTGTACAACCAGCTTATAAAATAATAGTGGAAGGCCATTAACATTATCATTGTCTACATATTTTTGAAAATTTGAGGAGAACGTAAACGAGTAAGCTTGAATGCTTCTAAACAGCAGGTCTCCCCTTGAGGAACAGGGGTTAACCACTTTAAGCTCATATCCAAATGCATGTACATTTGAGTCCAAGTCTGATGAAGATTCAATTAAACTATATAATATATAATATAATATATAACTATATAATGGGAAATAAAACCCAAAAGCTCAATTTAAAAAAAAGATTTAAACCTTACAATTGGCTGATTTTTTTTCACATATCAAGACACCTACAATTTTGACAAGAGTGTGGCTTAAGACTGAGTGCCAAAATTAGGGATACCTGCTTTACAGTCTGTAAAGCACATTTAACTTAAACACATTATCAACCTACCTTTTCCCTGAGATCAGGTCGCTTTAGAGCAATCATGCTCACATAAACTGTATAAGTCACAAATGTCTTATAATCCATGAGTTCATAGGAAGTAAATGTGGACACTGTGTCAAGGAAGAGTTCTGCAGCTTGCTTGAAGTCTCGAATAGCCACACAATAAAGGCCCTGGTAAACTTTCAAACGGTTCCTCCTGTCCCAGTCTCCCCCTTCTTCTATAAGGCTGCAAAACAAGCACACATGCCATGAGCGCCCGGGATCATAAAGAAATAACGGCATCCCTACAGTCCAGCTTGTTCTCTGGAGCAGGTGAAAATTACAGGAATGACAAACAGAAAAGATAAAACAGAAAATGTACAAAACGGAATGTCACCGTAGCATTCACTTCAAAGTTTTCTCAGTCAGCTTACACCACAGAAATACGTGGGTTATCACTCAACCTTCCCAACATTCCTTTGAAACCCTAAAATGAAACTGAGAATTTCTAAATCTGACTATAATACAAGTAGTTCAGGTGGGTAGGTGCATCAGCATGTGTGGCTACAAAGGAACAAGTAATAGGTTTATTCCATGCTGAAAAGTGAAGAAAGGAAACCAGGGTTGTTCACACCAGAAGAAGGCTCCACAGCCAAAACGTAGTGTTTCTTTTCTTATCTTTTCAGCATGGAATAAACCCATTACTTGTTCCTCTATAATACAAGTAGATTTAAATGGCTTCCAAGGAAGTCACAACCCACTTATCGTGTGAGTGATCTGCAAGACAACCTGGAGGAGTTTGACCATGAGTGTTTCACCAAGAAGACAATGACCCATGAGCTTAAAAGGTGATGCTGCAACCTGAGCGGTGGATGTCTGAAGCAGGTCAAAGTGTAATGAAGCCAGCCATGTTTCAAGTTCAATTGCAAGATGTCCCTGAAACAACGGGCTTTCAGCATTTTCTACTTTATATGTACTACACTCTTAAGAGTAATACAGATAAAGTTCAGAGTTAATTGTTCAAACACAGGAACAGTAGATGCAATAGGTCTCCTTGCTGGATTTAAAATAATTACAGCAGCTTTTAGTGTAAATATCTAAAAATGGCTGTTGATGAAATCTGCTCAATTTTTACTGAATCGGTCTAGAGATTTTTAAGGGAATTTTGAAAGGGATATGCAAAGTTCAAAACCAATCCCACAGCATGAAGAAATTATGTACCCCCTTTTTCAGCAATTTAATCATCTAAGCATCTCTCTTTCAAATAACATGTATTTTACTCATAATGCACAAAAGTATGAATGTATTTTCATCATTGTGATTTTACCTTTTTGCTTTCTCAGTGTTTCGTGTGATGAGGTCGCTATCCATATAGAACAATCCAATTCTCAAAAGATAAAACACAATATCTAGACGATGTCCCAGAGCCACAGTTTTGTCATAGGTCTTCCTAAAAGCCGTCAGTGCTCCTTCCTAAACGTTGACAAAACAAAACACACATGGAAAAAGTACTTTTTTTATACAAGACAATTAAAAAGTACATTTAAGTGGTATTATTCAGGAATTATCATGTGGTAATCTGCCTGCACTATATATATTCTGAGCAAAGTCTTTAGGGAAAAAAGGCACTTGATTTTATATAACAATATTTTTTCCCTATTTAGACAAGATGCATTGATATTTTTGTGGAATAAATTATTTTTACCACTTTAGTCTGGTCTACAAAGTTTTACAAAAAAAATCAACGCAAATTAACAATCTGCAAACACTTTTAAAGGCTTCCAAGTAGGTTCTTACCAAACTTTTAACAGTCTGAGTAATCTACGAGTGAACTAATGGGAAACTAGAAAGATGCCCACTGAAAATACGACTTCTTGGACTCAACAGTTTTTGAAGAAGAGAACTTAAGCAGTACGGGGCCTAAACTGTCAATCAGTTGATAAGATACTGTGGGCATGGAAAATGTGAGGTGCAAGTCTCAAGCAGAATTCACAGAGATGAATCCATTAAGATTCAAGTCTATCAATATTGCGATTAGTAGTTCAGGTGGGTAGCTGCATCAGCATGCATAGTCTGCAAAGGAACAAGTAATAGGTTTATTCCATGCTGAAAAGAGAAGAAACAAAACAACATTTCGGCCGTGGAGCCTTCTTCAGGTGTGAGAAAGACAGGGCAGTAAGCAAAGGTAATGTAGCGGGAGAACAAAAGCTGGGAGAGAGGAGGAACGAGAGGCGGGAGCAGGGGACAGACAGAGAGGCCAATCAGGAAGTGTGAAGTCAGGATAGGTGAAGAGAGGTGTGAAATGAAACCTACAATAAATAGAGAGAATATAGAAGAAAAGTAGTCTGTCATTGAGAGAAGGGGGAAAGTGTGATCCAAGCTACAGATAATTTTAGTTTCTGTAGTCTTTTTGATGTATGAGTTAGGAAAACCATCTTTGAGAACACAGACGGAGAGATTAGAATGGTCATGGCCGTCAGAGGTGAAATGAGTAACTAATATTTTCTCGTAATGGCCGTCAGAGGTGAAGTGTCCCAACTAATATTGCAATTAGTTTCAAGTTTGAAAACTAAAAGGCACACAGGCAGCCAACTTGGTTTAACCAGCAGCCCACTCTGAACATAAGCTCATCACATTGTGCTGGAGAGGTACCTACCAAATTTTACTGGTTATTAGAAAATCTGTGGAAAATCTATTGTTTATCAGCAAGACAAGAAAATTATGGTCAAGCAACCATCCTGTATTATAAAGGAAATCTACTGCACCATACTGTAAGTGCTTCATCACTAGAGTGATCCATACTAACTTAACTTGCCAAAGTTTCTAAGGTAGAGAAGATCATGTTACACAGCACCTTTAGCAAAGTGTGTGATGACCCAGTATGGGCACAAGTATGCCCCCAATATGTGAGATGGAAATCTGAAACAAGCTCTGGGTATTAACATCATTAATTCAAGTCACTTAGCAAAACAGCTCATAAAACACATGCAGTTTAAATGACCTTGGACAAAAGCAACTCCTGAGTTGAAAGATAAAGTTTCGCATGCAGTGGGAGGGAAAATAATCATCTTGTGGGTTGTAAACTAGAACCAGCTTTGGTTGCTTGGGAAATATTCCAAATTTTAATTTAACTGGTTAAGCTCTTTATAAAAAGACTTTGAAAGGGGTTTCAAATACGCAGGTCATGCTTTTATGTTGGCTGATACAAGACCAGGCTTGGAAGTGCATCTAAAACCAAGAAGCTCAGCTTTACCCAAAGGGTTGTGGGAACATGGAGCTGGCTACCCAGCCATGATGTTGAAGCAAATATCATGGCATCTTTCAAGAAACAGCTGGATGACATCCTTGGATCAATTAACTACTTACTACAAAATGGGCCAAATAGTCTCCTTTTTTAAAAACTTCTTATGTTCTTAGATTTTTATCAAATGTAATGGCTTATCTGTGCAAATAAAGCTGCCTAGGATGAAGATGCTCAGATGCCCAGTCTTCAAAAAACAAGCAGTTTGAAACCTGGGGAAATATCACAATAGATTATATTTACCTTATCCCCAATTCTAATCAGGTATTCAGCTTTGGCCATCATTGCGTCACGGATTTCACTCTCTCCCAGATTCTTCTCTGCGTCCTCCAACACGTCATCCAGACGTTTCAGGACCTCTTCGTTGGCTTTCTTCATTTTGCTTAAGAATTCCGTGTCAACCTGCCATTTAAGTTCCTTGCACAAAGCCTCGTAATATGGAGCCATGTCTGAAAGACAAAGCCAAACGGACTAGCTAATAAAACAAACTTGAATACAAAAGAGCAAGCAAAGGTTAGTTCCGCAGAGTTGAAGAGCAGAGAATAAAAAACAACGTTTTCTTCAAGTGTAAAGAGGCTCAACAGCCTATCTTTTTTCTATTTGCAACTTGGACACAACTGACGAAGCTGCCCACTCGAAATTCTTCAGCACAAGCAAAAGGCCGAGGAGAATTTTCCACAATAGCTGTGCTGTAATACGAAGTATTGTTAACAATGGTAAAAAGTATTGTGGTGACAATATGTAATATTTTATATTTTATAGTAATATATAAAGTATATTTATATTATAGTAAATATTATCTCATCACTAAAGAGATTTATTCAGCTCTAACCGAATATGCTTACATCATCATGACCCAACGTTATTTACAATCCAACAATGACAGTCATGATAATCCTGAAACAAATACGAAGTAAACTTTTTCAGAGAGTTGCAATTAATCAAATGGATGGGACGCTGGTACAGAACATTTCTTTCAAGCTTTAAAAGACAATCAGACCCTAACAACAGTGAATTGAGAAATTATATAGGAAACTCGTTAATTCTGTTACGCAGAATAGTTTCATTCAAAAAATCTAAATAAAATCAGTCGACGATTTCCTTTGTTTCACATCAAGCTATACATGTGTACAGGTGTGTAAAACTGTTACAATTCTGTTCCAGACATGAACATCACGGGTAGGGTATTCATATCATATCATATGTTCATTTCATATTCATATGCGACTTTCACATTGTTTCAATTAATAAAACAATTTCTTTGTTTCTCAAAAATCCAATTTATCAGACGAAAAATACTGCTTCCTTACTTCCCGATACAAATCGCTGCCCTTATACACCCTTCTGGTAGTTGATTTTGAGCCGCGATCCTAAGAGCCAGGCCCAGGTTACATGTCTAACTCGAGCCCCGGGATCAATCCGAGGCCCCAGTGACGCTACAGTTTTGACTTGACAGCGGCGGCCTTATTGCAGGTTTCTCCTACTTACTATTCTCTTTAATGGCCTCCATCAGCTCCTCTTTAACTTTTACATCTGCACGGTGTCCATCAAGCGTGAGCAGGAATTTGAGCTGAGCTATTCTCAGATCGGGGTTTTTGGGCAATCCCTCTTCTTCCAGGTTTTCCAGCGGCATTTCTTCTGGTTCTCTCGGTGTTAATACGAGGATTATGCGGGGACCTAAACATGAAAACCCGGGCTGCTGAATGAAATTACACTACGCCAACGAGTTCAAACCAAGCGAAAGAGCCCAAGGCAACAAGGCGAAACCGTAACTATCACCGCCCCCTCCTGGCCATGCACGTAAATGCAACTCGTTTTTTTGTACCGTAATTAAATCTGGGTAATAATTTAATCTCACCCCGCACTCCCATTCCTCATACAAATGTTTTACACGGAAGAAATGTGTTTACTTTTAGCAAAATAATAAAAGTATTGTGAGTCTGTATATGTTCTTTTTTTCAATATTTGTCCCATTCGTGAAAAATCTTGTGTATATCTTTTAACACATTGTTTGATATTGTTCTTTACATAATTTTTAATACAGAGTTCTTTATTTTCATTAACAAAACCATATATTTCAAAATATTGTGTAAGATCAACTGTAAAAAAATGTTCTTATCAGTGAAGAGTCCATGGGGGAAATAGCACGTGACTGATGAGGCGATTCTATAAAAAATTAATCTTACTTTTTATAATATCTAACAGAGCTTGTTTAAATTGTTAGCCAAGCTACATTTGGAGATCTTGCTGGTGGTGTGCTATCGGCTCTGTGTGCAATAAAAATGGAGTTTTTACTGAAGCACATGGTAAGAAATCTACATTTTCTTTTTGAGATCCAAAATACCGAACTTTAAAAATACTGGAATGTTTCACTGTATTTCATAATTATTTAATGAAAGTAACATAATTGGGCAATGTACTGTACCTCTCAGTGTTTTATACAAAAAACATCGCTTTTATTTAATAATATTTGAAGGCAATGTATTGTAATTTAAATACTATACACAATAGTCCTTCAAAAACCTGATTTAGTGCCTCACTTTCTATTACCATCCTCGTCACTTTGATTTAAAATCTCGCACGGTGTAGCAAAGTGGGTATTTTAGGTATTTTGCTTTACAAACTTCAAGTACGTCTTGCGATTTATATAGTGTGCAGACTGTTTACTTCCACAAGTGGCTTTAATTAAAATAAAACATATTCTTAATTAAAAGGCAAATCTGTTCTTATAGCCTATTGCATTGAGATTAAGTTTGATGCTTAAGCATTTTTGTTGTGTGTTTTATTCATGGTAACAATGAAATTTGTTTTTTTTCATAGCATTTCTCGGAATTATCCAAAGCTAGACAGAAGGACTAATCCAGGAGGCCACAGTGTAACTGTGATGCAATAGGAGTAAATGTGACGGCTTTAGAAAAGATGACTAATAATTTACATAGAATGCACTAACTTTTATTTAATATAAACCAATGTTGATGTTATTTTTGAAGAAAAAATTATGCAATTCATCTTGTTTTCCACAGTTGCATCAGTAGATTGAATGACTCATCTAAAACTTGAACAAAGGAATGTTAAACATTACTTTCACTAACTTGCTGCAATCAGTCACACAGATGTACCTTTTTTCGTTTCATGGAGTGATTAAGTTCTCTCTACAAAAGCAGTGTGCTAACGTCATCATTTAATTATTATATTTGTTGGATTGTGCTGTTTTGTATTTTGGGAATTGTATGACACAGAAGTTCCACAGTGAAATATAAAATGTGCAAAATTATGTTAATTGGTTCTTTCATTGCTGTATTTTTTCGGTCATTTTAGACCTTTGATTTGATTACCGTGACAGTATAAAATGACTGAATAAGCTTGCTCATTAGATACAATTTTAGAAGGTGTCTCTGAATTTATACTGTACTTAAAAAAGTAACAGTGGTTAAAATGTTTAAATCATTAAAATAAAAACTTAACAGGTTGTGACACAGTGGCGAAATGGTAAGTATTGTTGCTTGACAGGACCTCTGGGTTCAATTCTGGACTTGGGGTGCTATCTGTGTGGATTTTGTATGTTCTCCCTATGTTTGTATGGATTTCCTCCAAGTGCTCCAGTTTCTTCCACAGTTCAAAGATACTGGTGGTTTAATTGGCTTCTGGGAAAATTGGCCCTGGTGTGAGTGAGTCTGTGTTTGTGTCTGCCTACTTTATGTCCTGCAATAGACTGCTGTCCCATCCAAGGTGTATCTGGACTTCTGCCCATTGCTTAATAGTTTAGGTTCTAGCCTTCCTGCGACCTTGTATTGGATAAGAAAGTTAGATAATGGATGAATGAATAAAAACTTTATAAAGGTAATTGTGGGTTTTGCTAACAGAAAGCTCATTCCTTCTGGTGTGTTTTCAGCTCTGTGGTCAAGTGATAATCTTCATAGTAGTCCTGGGAATTGGAGGATCATTTCAGAATGGATTTCACATTACTGTTATCAACTCACCTTCACCTGTAAGAGATATTTGATGTTTTTTTTCTTTCATTGTAAATGAATTGTCATTTTTAATAGCACATAGGAAAGAAAGCATTTCTTAAATCAAAATCATGACAATGTTCATGTTTTCCTAAGCTGCATTTTTCTTTTATGCAGATTATTCTGTTATCTGGAATACATTTATTAATGCCTCAAAATCATCATGAAACATTGAATGTTTTTCACAACTAATGACATTCTGCATTAAAAATGAAAATCATCTACACATCTGAAGTATGTGTAGTGAGTGATTTAAAAATCATGAGCATAGTGACTTTTTTCTAATCTCAGGGTTTTTCTTACGTGTGTCCCTTCAGTTCATTCAGAATTTCATCAATGAAAGTTGGATGTCCCGCTATGGAAAGCCTATGGAGAGGGAAAGTGTAAAATTGATTTGGTCTGTTTTGGTATCGATGTACTCTATTGGAGGCCTGATTGGATCTATAAGTATAAGATGTTTTGTCGTGAAATTTGGAAGGTGAGTTATTTGAGAATATTAAATATTAAATATGCATCCAAAAGTTATTTGAAGGTCTCCTTTTGTGGGTTTTATATTATCTTTTGTAAATGTAAACTATTCATTTTAAATGCTAACCTCCTGAAAACTGGTTTTGCAGAGACATTAATTAAATATAGTCTTTTTATATCAAACATAATTAATACGTAATTCCTTCAATACAGACTCAATTAATTTAATTTGAATACCTAGAGTACCAGCCAAGACTCTTTCAGTTCCCTGTGAATTACTGTATAAAACTTTTACTATTTATTTACATATATTTGTGTTGAAAATTGTGGACAGTGGACTTTAAATCTACAGGATATGTTATCATTCATGCTTACAGAAAGCATGAACTGCTAATGGCTGTTCTTCATTGTAGAAAGAAATCTATGATATACAACAGCATTCTCAGCATTGTTACTGCTGCAATAATGGGCTCAAGTCGGAAAGCCAACTCTTTTGAAATGATTTTGGTGGCGAGATTCCTGTATGGATTCAGTGCAGGTACGCACCTGTTTTTTTACTGTGTAGCTATAAAATTTGCTTCAAGGAAAGGAGGAACACTTGCTATACAGTCCATACCCCAGTCAAAATGAACAAGACCACCACCTTTCATGGTATACATTATACAGTATAAGACAAAAAAAAGTAACAAAACATTTATATAGATAATTCAGTATTTTAATTTGCCAAAATCAGGCAATCAATTATTGCATATTGAGTATAAACTCCGCTTTGTGCGGTGTTTTAAAAATTAAGTAGAGACGCAGCAAAAATGTTGTGTGGATAGAACAAAAATATAGATTGATAGATCATGAAACATTAAATTTATTTTCCCAATTACCTGAGTTTAAGCAGTTGCCCTGGATTCATTACATAAATTAGAATCAAATGCCTTGAGAGAGAAATCCCCAAACTCTTGTTTCTTTAAGTATTGCATAGTCCTATATAGGTAGTGGACAAAAAAAGGAAACACCTGGGTCATTGAGGGACACCAGGTATATTGAAGGTAAGGTCTTCCACACAGGTGTGGCTCGTGTGTTAATTAAGCAGATAACATCCCAGCATGCTCAGAGTCATGTATAACAATGCTGAACTCACTTGGTTGCTTATAGTTATGGCTGTAACAGGAACCTCAGGGACTTTGAAGGAGGGGTGATTGTTGGGGTTTGATTGTCAGGAGCAGGATACCAAAGTCAGGTTGCACCTTGAAGTGCATATTTGTGAGTCCAGTGGTTCAAAGAGAATAGGCAATAAACCACTGAGCAGTGAGGAAGTGTGATATGGTCAGATGAATCACCCCCTACTATGTTCTTGACAAATGGACAAGTGCATATTTGGCATCAAAATATTTGGTTGCAACAGTGAAGATTCTCATAGTTCCGTAATGTGGGGTATACTTTCCTGGGTCTGGGTCCATTCATTTCCTAAAAGTCAACTCAAGGTCAGCATGTTGTAGTATTTCTCTCCTGCCAGAAGGGGTGTCTTTCAGGATGACAATGTCCCCATCCACAGAGCTTATGTTGTTGCCCAGTAGTTTTCTAACTATGACACTGATGGTATCCATATGTCAGACCTTCTCAGTCACCACATCTGAATCAAGCATGTACTGTATGTGATATTCTGGAATGACGCCTGAGACTTTGTTTTCCTATGCTGCCTCAGCCTTCCTGCAGAATCTCTGACACCAGTAGACTCTATAAAAGGGCACAAACATGACAGATTGGCTACACGTGATGTCCCTACGCCCTCTTAAGTTACGTTCCAGTGGTGTTTTTTTTATCCACTACTTGTACTTTCATTATTATATTCAATGGAAATGGTTTACTCAGTGTTGATCTATGAGTTTTATATACAATCAGGGGAGCTAAATGAATACCAATTTTCTGTGTGAACCTCTAAGGGCTAGGCCTTAACATCCACTTGATGTATCTTGGAGAAAGTTCGCCTAAACAGCTCAGAGGTCTGACGACCATGACGGCAGCTACTTTCACTTCGCTCGGCAAACTTTTTGGACAACTTGTTGGTCTCAGGTAAAATAAATGTATGTGGAGAAATAGGTTTTAGCTCACTTAGTTAAAACAAAACTGGAAATGGATAAAGATGTTCTTTTTTGTGCAGCCCACAAGGGCTTCTTATGGATATTGGTTTCCCACCATTACAATACAAGATTAAATGATAAAAACGATTATTCATATATTTTATGACATTTTCAAATGGTGGCTCACAATGTGGCTTAAAAATCAAATAACAGTGTACTGTGCATTTTAAGTATACAACATATCAAGAATTGTATTTAATGAAATTGTATATTTCAGTGAATTACTTGGCCAAGAGGACTTGTGGCATATTCTGCTTTGCTGCGCCTCCTTCATTTCCATTCTCCAGCTTGTCGCTCTTCCTTTTCTCCCAGAGGCCCCCAGATACTTATTAATTGACAAAGGAAATGAAGAAATGTGCAGAAAAGGTAATTTAGAAACTGTTGTCATATTTTCACTGTTTTGTCTTTAATTAAGTTGATTCTGGAAAAGGTCATTCTTGCCTTCTGCCATAAGACTGTACAACACATCCACCTTGCGTTTTGGCAGAGGTGACATTGACAGTGACCTGTTTCTGGACTGGACAGTAAACTGATACATCTGCTCTTTTTCTTTTCCTGTTTAAAACCATTTTTGTGCAATATATGCCAGGGACCTGTGCAATACATTTCTTTGCGTGTTCTGGGCTGTGAGTAACTCTTCTTAGTGCATGGATGTTTTTTTTTTCTGCCAGACACACCCTCTCTTGTTCGTTTGCACCGCAAGTTTGTGGCTTAACTCACTGCCAGGCATTCTGTCTTTCAGCCCTGCAGAGACTCTGGGGGAAAAGGGATTTTAAGGTTGAAATTGAAGAAATGCTGGCAGAGCAGGCTGCCATAAATGGGGAAAAACCGAAAAGCCTTTCCGAGCTCCTGAAAGACAGAGAATCACGCTGGCAACTCTTGACCATGTTGGTTGTTTTGATTGCGATTCAGTTTTGTGGCATCTCTGCGGTGAGTGTGTTTCTGCAGTATAGTCCAATGAACTAAAGGGGAAAAAAACAGACACTCCAGAGTGCTCTGTAAGAACCAGCTTTACACTGTTAGTTTTAAATTTTTATTTTTAATGTTGGATTAAGTGAAGGCAGGGGTACTCAACAAGAAACCCTCTTAATTCATTTTGTGATTAATTGTTTACAGTTGAAAACTATTAATTGGTATCATAGTCCTGTCAAACAATTAAATAATTCTTGAGACAGTTGTCAAAAACATCTGAAATGCAATATAAAGTCACAAGACTGAGTAGTTTTGAGTTATGTAGTCCAATACAGCTCTTGCCATTTTTATAGACATATAATTATTGTTTTACCTTTATTTATATGAAGTTCTGCTGAACTTCGTATTTTTCAATTTAGCCTGTGAGCATTTCATCATCAAATACACATCCTGCAGATGTAGAAAACATAGAAAAAAATCTAGAGAACCATCCTTGAAAAACAAAATCAAAATAATTTCTTGGCATCCTTCAAAAAACAGGATGGATAACACATCACTATGTCACTGTATATATGTGCTACTGCAATCATATTATAAAACAAATTGCAAATGAGTTGTAAATGTACATCAGAAAATGTATTTAATAAAATAGTCAATTTAACAGTTTAGGGGGGTAGCACAGGTTTCCAGAGCAAAAAACGTAAAAATATCAGCCTTGGTTCCTAAATTAAGTTCTGATGTATTGATTTATCACAGATACCTGTTAGGTTTCAGTGCTCAAAGAGTAGGCTTGAATTTCCTTGAATTGACCTATAGGACAGAACACACCCACAGTGCTTTGCTTCTTTATTTCCCAAGGAGAGAGAAGAAGAGAGAGAAGTCAACAGTACTACTGATACTGTTCTGGTCTTCCTAGACTGACCTCTCAACCTTTAGTTTACCTTGTTTGGGCATCTTTTACACAGGTCTCTGATTAATTGTATCTCCCAAAAGGGGATAAAACTCAAAAGGAAAGGTTTCAGTATGTACAGGTATATATAGCTGGGGAGCATCACCTCCAATCATTTGTTCCTAGAAACCTTTGAAACTGAATTAGGTCATCCCGTATTCCAGTTCTGTTTTGCAACAGACTTTATATTTATGGGTAGCTGTAGACAACACACTTCAAAAACGATGACCTGATCTAACATCTCCAACCTAAACAATGCTCTAGACATACTGGAGCCAGGTATGATGCCTGTGTCATTTACCACCACTTACTGGCCTGGTTAAGCTGTATAAACAGGGACCAGCATTTGCAGGCTTTAGGCTCTGCAGTAGACCGGTATCTCATCCAAGTGTCACATGCTTTCTGTCCATTTAAAGCCATGAAAACCAGGATAGACTGTGGCCTGATGAGCTATTCTGGCTTCAATACTGAAATTACCTCCCTTCTGGCATGATTTGGCTTAAAGGTACAGAATGTTTAATGGTTACGTCATAATCCATATTGGTATAAATAGTATACCTCCTAGCACACAACAGCGTCATATGATTTAGTGTTATCACTAATCTAGGTTACTTGTCCAAAACATTCTAGTAAATATGTTTAACAAGACCCTACCTTTCCAAATCTATGTATGCTACTTTTAAATATTCATTTATTTACAAGTATTATTTTAGTGTAGCTCTAATTATTGTTTCTATAACATCGCCATTAATAGAAGAAAAACAGGTTTGTCTCTAGTTTCCTGAATTTGTTTTTCCCTTTTTATAAAGTGGTGCTTCATTTATAATTCTCAAAATTATGGTTACAGTTCTCATCCTAAATGACAGTTCACATATCCCAGCAAGGGATGTAAGAATAAAAAACCTTATTTTTATTATGAACCAATGAGATAATACCTTCAGACCTGTACAATCTTGCTGAAGGTACCAGGCTGAAGATTAAAGATAATGTGAAACACCGCATGGTAAAATTCAAGCCAAAAGAAACTAGTTCCTTATTCATGTTTACCTTCCTCTGCAAATAAGTAACTAACTCCATCAGATATTTTTCTTCAGATTATTGCACTTAACAGAGTATTGTGCAGGTCACTGGTTTCCAGTTCCTGTCCTAGGGGGATCATTGTGTCTGATGTCTTTTGTTCCAGCTCAGCTCTAAAGCTCCAGAGCTGATTGGTTACCTTAATTGATTTGTTCACTTGTTAAACTTTTGCTTAACTGTTTCTGACTTGGTCCTGAGTTTCATGAATATCCTTCTTCAAGAATTATGAAACTGCTTGTAACAGCTTCACCGTACATATCTTTAAGTAGTTTCTCTTTAACTTTACACCCTTATTTCTAACAAAGCATCTCTTAATAGGTGATCTATTTATTATAGTGGGAATGACAATCTATCAGACACTATAGGAGCATTTTTCCTTCTGCAGAGATCCAATTAGGTACATATCAGGGCATACAAATAATTATTTGGAAATATTGTTCTAGGTTATAAAATTCCTAGCATTGTTAAAATAATTTAAATGTTCTGATTTAGAGTCACTTCCAATCCTGTTTAATACAACAACATCCATGTTTAATACTTAATACTCTACTGTGAATGTCATCTGCCGGTCCGTTAACTTTGTTCTGCAGTGTTATTTGATGCAATTGTGCATGCAGCTGAGGATGAGGATGTTGCACTAGGCCCTGTGTGTCAATTACATTAATATTACTCAATACTGATGGAGCCCCTAGCATAACATGGTAACATTATAAAAGCTATGTTATAAACGTCTATTCTTTTATCAACCCCCTTTTCTCATAAACTATTACTTCCAATTTTATTGTTGCAATTATATTTTCTTTCTGTCTTGGGAATTCTAATCTTTTTCCATCTGTACTGTACCTGTAGCTCGTGATATTTTTAATATCTTTGATACAGTCTGTAGAGTGCTCTTTTCCTTCTGATTTCTCTTCTCTCAGTTTTCCCAATAAACATTTTTGGGGATATCTTGCTAGACTTGCTAGAGTTTTAATGTTGAAAAGTTTAAGAGCCTATGAACCATCCTTCAGTTATTGACTCTGAATCTATCTAATCCCATTTCGCCACATGTAAACTCATCCTTTCTCCTTCACAATCTGCATTTCTAAAATTATAAATCCTCATTTCTAGGCTGAAGTTTTAGAGATTTGAAGTGAGAATCAAACATTTTCATATTAGGGTCACGATGTCTTAGTGATTCTATTTCATATATTCCATATATCTTGAATATTTCAAAAGACTAGAGTTGGTCAATAAGAGCATCTTCCCTAGCAGATGCTGTTATATACTGGATTAAAATTACATTATTAACCATTTTAACACCATCAGTATCAGGTTCTGTATTCCCCTTATACAATACCCTTATATGAAGGAATCGAAATTTCCAATTTATTTAACAAAATCTTTGCTATAGTCCTTCCTGATTTTATCAATAGTAAGCTACATGTGCCCTTGTCTGTATTAGGTGGTCTATACAATGTACCTATTGTTAAGATCATAAAACTTATATTTTCCAGTTTAGCCATTATAGAATTGTAAAACTGCCAAGACTTCATGTTTCAGTTCTCCAGATTGGAGGCTATATAAAGGTGGGATATATATATACTGTATATCCCATATATATAGATATAGTTCCACCCCACTCCTGCCTGTTTTTTTAAAAAATTGTGGTTTTATATTAATCCTTTCAGTCATAAGTAAGTCCAGTCATAAGTTTATTTCAAGCCGACCTGTGGTGAGCTTCCTTCCACCAACAGCTCTACACATACGCTTCCCAAACACGACACATACAGTACACTCTTCAACAACATGGTACTTACACCTTGCAAGTGGCACCCCACTGGTTCAAGTGCAATCTGCCCCATTTTTATAGATCCCAGTTGTTATGAAATGACAGAGCCCCAATAACCTAAACCATTGTTTTCTGTTGTAGTTACGTAGGCACCTACAGTAGGTTTTCCAGCTGAATACTTAAACCTGTCTTACAGAATTATCATCTTACCTTTCCCTGTGTAATTTGTTCCAACACAGACCATGACAACTAGATCCATCTCACCTCTGGCCAGGAGCCTGTCCACTCATGCAGGAAGGTCTGCAGTCTGGACATCAGGCAGGCAACACACCATGCAAGACTCCCCTTCACTACACACTGCCTCTTCACCATGCACACACCACTGTCTCTGTACCTTTCAAAACCGATTCCCCCACTTTTGCTACCTCTCTTTTACTGGGAGGAATGGACAGCTGGGTGCCCTGGGGCCCATCAGCCCTTTAACTGGTGTTTTCCTTCAAGCAGTCAATACCCTGATCCATATCAATTAAGGAATTTGGAAGTAAAAATACATTTATGAAAGGAAGGGATCCGACAGACTCAAGGAATGCCACTTCTGTGTGACTTGCACTCCATTCCCTCCATAGAGTGGATGTTCTTAGGTTCACTCAAAATGGGCTTTTTTTGCTTTAATGGATGCTATTTAACCTCTTGACTGCTTGTTGAAGGGGAGAAGTAAGCCAGATGTGCAGTGAACTTCTCTCATTGCTTTGCAGATCTGTGCCTACTCTTTCAATGTGTTTTATGAGGCTGGCATCTCCGAGGATAACATTCGGTATGTCACACTTGGTATAGGAGTTTCTGAAGTCCTCACTACGATCACATGTGTAAGTTGTGCAGAGCAAAACATCTGATCTTCATATAATGCTGACCAGTTTTACACAATTTGACCTTTTGGAGTTATACTATTTTCTGACAATCAATGCAGCCTGAATTCTTTTTCTGTCTGCTAATTAATCAAACTTATTTGAGATAAGGAATTGCTAAGGATTTTATATGCATTTGCTTTTAAGATTTGAAAATATTTATGGTATTAGTGAATCATTCCATTTTTCTGAGCTTTTTTGGTACACTCTACCTCTTCTTTAGAGCAAGAAAGTTTGTTTATATAACTTCAAGAAACATATTTTGTTTGCTTGTTGGTGGCAAAGAAAAGGATTTACTTAGAAGTGCATTTTTCTCCACAGGCATTTCTCATCGAAAACACAGGGAGAAGAGCATTGTTGTGGAAGGGATTTATATGTATGTCCTTAATAATGACATTAATCACAGTGACACTTTATCTGAGGGTAAGCATTTCTTTGGTTTGAGTTTTCTAGTGACTAGTGCAGACTTCAAGGGCAGAGGGCGTCTTCTTAATTTTAAGCACTACAAAGACTTTATTTTGTGCTCAGAAGAGGATGTGGAGGATGAGGCTTCAGTTCTTTTCTTGTTTTTTCTCATCTGAAGAATGACTTTTAATGTGTTTAGAAACAATGATGTTTACCCTCTGTTATGATATGTAACACAAATATGTCTTCAGGAACCTAACCTGCTGTTATTCAGGTTATAATCCATATTCTCATTGATATATTTGTTTTTTTAGGAGACCATTTCTTGGATACCATACAGCACAGTGTGCCTAATTTTTCTTTTTGTTATATGTTTTGGAGGTGGGCCAGGTAGGTTCTTTTGAACACAATAACACATTCCTTTACATTATTACTGGTGAACCAGCAATGGATCTCTGCGCCACTTCCAGAGTTCCACTCACTGCCTCTGTCTTAAGTCCCTCATGTAATGTGTAAGAATATTTTTTCTTGTTTTGTGTTTTAGCCAGTGTGTTACCATCGCTCTCTCATGAGATCTTTATTCAGTCTTCAAGACCTGCGGCTTTTGTCTTCACTGGAATCTTGAGATGGGTGGGCTTTTCTGTGCTGGTAGTGGCTTTTCCATTCTTGATTGTAAGTCTCAGAGGTGGAAACATTTCAATATTTATCTAATTGTAATGTCAATATTTTGGAGTGAAAAAATAATAACAATTGTAACTTTGAAATCATTTTTGAAAAGAGTCAGAGCACATACAATATAAGAATGTACATTAAGAACTACATCCACAGCTTTCATTATGCTTAGATGAACTGAATTTTTAATAATTCTGTAAACTGTGTTATGAAGCTTAGGGCTTATATAGCTCGAAAAGTGCTACAGTGTCAGAACTTAGTGTACTGTACCTAAGTGATCTGTGTTTAAGACACCATCCATTAATGGAAGGTGAACTGAGTTAAAAAAAAATTGAGCCTTGGATAAATCTTTGTAAGGGTTTCAGTGTACAGGTAAGGCGCATATAGTAGTATGTATTGTTTCTAGTGTTATAATTTGTTATAATTCTAGTGTTATAAGTAAATACTGTAGAAATGAAATAATTTATAAGAGCACCTTTTCTCACAGTTATTGCTCTGTTTTTTGTTGTAGGATTCTCTGAAGCACTTCAGCTTTCTGTTTTTTGGAAGTGTTTGTCTTGGGGCCGGAGTTTATGTCTTTCTCTTTGTACCAGAAACAAAGGGTAAAACAGTCCTTGAAATATCGGAGGACTTTAAGAAGATAAATGTGCACAGACACTGGTGTACTAAAAATGGAAATGAAGACAATGAATGGATTATAGCAACAAGGCTGTAAAATGTTACATTAAGCATATACATGCACATATACTTAAGTTTACATTAATTTAAAATTATTATATTATATTATATTAATTATATTATATAAAGTATTATACAAAAATATGTTTAATGGGAATTTTGCAGCAGTTTATTGCAAAAGTGCGATCAAAAGGCTGTTTACATGTAAGCAAAGACAACTTAGTAACTTTCATAAGTTGACGGAATTATTATACAGTATGCGTTCAAAACTAAGAAGTGTGGATAATAGGTTATTTGTTAATTATTTGCCGACACATTCAGCTTCTTATATTTCAAAACTACTGGAGATTTGTTCCATAAAGAAAGCAATGGCTACATAAACAAATAGTGTTAAATTATTTGTGTGATTTTTTTTATTTGTTGATTTCAAATGGTTTTTATCTTAAAATAAAGGTAACAAATTCAATTATCCGAATTGTTTCCAAATAAGGCTGAAAATTTTTAATGTAATTTGAAATAAAATAATTGTACTTATGTGCAAAACAGATTAATTGTCACAATTTACAGATTTGAATGGACATTTTAAATCTCTTTTCGCTTATTTTAACTTTTAAATGAGCCCCAGGTTTACCATACCTCTCTGTGCTATACCACAATCTCACTATATTTTACTACATTGTCAGGCCCTGTTACTAAGGTAAATACCACTGTGAACTTGTAGAATACAAGCTTAGTTGTGCAAAAGAGAGTCAGACCTTAAATCCAAGAGAGCTTCTGTGGGAGACATTTAGAGAGTTACCTTATCAGTGCTGAGCAGCTGCCTCCTGTTCAAGTGCTTAATTTGCAGATAAATGTATTTGGTGCGCAGTGTAAATTCGGGGTGGAAAATGATTGACCTTATCTTTCAAACATTAGATTTGATATCGCAATGCTGCTTCCCATTATCTGGTACTACACTGAAGGATTAGTTGTGGATTAATTAGAACTTCTGCATAAGAAATGCATAGCTTTTCTTTGTACTCCAGGACACAATTTGTCTTTCCAAACACAGTGCAATTACCCAAATTGTAATGGGAATAAGAATAACTGTGTGTATGTTGAGCATGTGGAGAACAGAAAGAAAATGTCAATGCTCTTTCCATGTGAAACAGATTTCATATTGACTTGATGCTCAATTTAAACATTGTCTTGGTGAGTGCTGAGTGCTATTATTCGTCATCTAATTCGTAAGCATTTAAGGAAAGTTGCAAGTAAGATGAGATCATTAAGCCCATTTTACTTGCTTTTCTGAGAAAACACAGGGAATGTGCTTTTGAAACTCCTAGCAGCTTCAAAAGACAGCCCATTGTGTACAGAAACATTTCCTGTGTTTTGTCCTTAATACACCCCAAGTCCCACTCATGTTTCTTGAACCCTATTTTCATTGTTTCATTAGACACTTGTATTGGACCTTGCTTCCACATGACCTGTGTGTAACGGTTCTGTATTCACTTTAATAAAACAGGCTTCACAGTAACACTTTCATTCTGATCGGTCTTCGACGATATTGTAAAAACCTCCTGCCGCGTCACACATTCCAGTCTTGCCCCGTCTGAGGGGAAAAGGGCAGTTACTATTTTCATTGGCTGCCTTACTAATTGCACACAGCTGTTCACAGGGTAGGCAGCTGGGCTGCCAGGTACTGGTAGCATACTGAGCAATGGACTGTACACACGGTGTACGTTTTAAAAGCGCAGCTTTTAAGAGATATACCAAATAAAAAAGGCTGAGATTTTCCCAGAAAAAAAGCTGCACATGCTTTATTATTGATTTCCACCAGTAGATAGTTTAATTTGCTGAAAGTAGGAAAGATAAATTGCATTAATTAATAAACACAAAACATTCATTAACATTTTGTTTCAGAAACATTAAAAAAAACTACTTAAGTGGCATATCTTATTATCACGCTTCAGTTTAGCAATTTTTCAAGGTCTTTAGTTGATCTCAGACCGTGACGGTAAAGAAACATTAATCACTTAATCATCTTGCCATGTCCGCCTGGAAATAGTAACTCGGTACTAATCACTTATGCGTGAAGGTTCGTGTAGTTTCACTGTACATCATTTTGTAATTTGTACCCATTGCTTAGAATTGATTCAGGATTACGTCACCCTACTATATTACTTTAGAAAAAAAAACTATTAAGTGTGCTCGGTTTTTCCGTATCTTCAAATGACTTTTCACAAGGCCAACCTTGCATAAGATCTATGTGTGACATACACAGATGGTATTAATATTTACACTTTATGATGCCATTGAAAATGTGAAATAAATGTGAAATTTTATCAGTATGTTTCAGGCAGCAGGCTCCACATCAGAATGCATAAATTGTGGTATAGGTTTCATATCTTCTCTTCTTAAGGAGTCCTGTAGTAACCGATTATAAGGATAGCTGGCAGAACAGCTGTTTTTAGGAACATTGTTTCGGTTTCAGTCACTCCAGCAGGTAAAAATGGTGTGACGTACTTATATATTAAACAAATAATATCAGAGGCACCAAAGCGGTAGTAACACTGACGAGGGAAAGCGCTTCATCAGAACATCTGCTGTTCTTACAAAATCAAAATGGTAAGTGAATTTTGTGTAATCGTTCAGACTGACACTGAAATCACATAATGCAATGCCTGCTACAAAATAATAATTAAGCAGAAGCAGAAACTACATTGTATATTGCGCATTCTACATGGACTATTTACAAACATAACTACTTAGTACAAAACAACAGAGTTTCAAAGTCTGTAAAAAAGAGGTTATTATTTTTATTTTTTAGGATTTATTAACTTTTAACTTTAGTTTCAAAGTTTACTTGACATTTAATCTACTTCAAATTGCGACGTGTTGCATGATAGTCGATGTTTTGTAGGAAGTAACTTCAGTCAAGTCTATTAAATGCGGAAGAATGTTTTTTCTTTGTTAGACCTAAGTCGATGATTTAATTAATTCAAATTATTTCGACCTGTCTCTCTTTATTTCAGTGAATTTGCCACTATCTACGCTATATTTAGTTCATTTAGCATCTCAGCCTGGTAAAACACAATATTTACTGCATGGAAGTCGGGGATAGTTAAATATTTGAATTTTGTATTTGAATGATCCAAAACGAAAACTGCCGTCTTTTCTTATGGCGTTTTTTTTTAATTGTATTACAAGAATGAAATACAGTAGTCTTGTTGCTTCCACTTTCTAACATTTGGGTCTTCTGTCATTTCCGGTATTTTCCCTTTTCATTTAGTATTTTTCCGCATTCTCGAAGAAAGGTTTGTGTTTTTTTGTGTTTATAACATTTAAGTTGAACAGAGCATCAGAAATCTAAATGGACAGGTGTAATAAAGCCAAATACCCAACACACCCCACCTTAAAATATAAACTACTTTGTATGCGTCTTTTTTATGTATTTGGATTTATATATTCAAAATTTTATTTAATTTTATGTAATATTTTAGCATGGGTTTCCAAGCCAGTTTTCTTGTAGATTAACTGGCAGCGTGAGAAAAGTCTGAAAACTCAGACATCCTGCTTATAATAACGTGCTGTCCAGAGTTCCAGTTCCTCAAGACACCGAGAGCGCAGCAGTGAAGCCAAGGAACAAAGACATAAAAAGAAGCGCTGTGATAGCAGCAATCGGGAAAATAAGGTAAAATATAGTACTACTAGTGTGCAAAATTATTTCTCTAGCAAATCACTCATTAATGTTTTCCCATAAGTCGAAAACAAAAATCGTTTTCTGATAGTAAGAACAAAGGATGTTTACCAAGTTTTGAATGTGAACTCGAAAGGGAAGTCATATACAGTATGCTCTAGGTGAATGACCGGAGGTAGTAGGCCTAGGCTGCAAATAGATTTTACTTCCCTCATCAATCTTCTGGAATCCCTCAGTCTTGTCCCCAGACGTAAGATGTGTCAGTCTTCAGATCCTCTTACCTTTGAATTGCATTGCACCTTTAGTTTCAGAAAGAGAAGGCAGGTTTAAATGTGTGCACAACTCCAATTCACAGGACTACAAGGGTTCAGTTCCTTCCAGTTTGTGTGAAAATGCATTGTCTGGGAGCATGGGAAAGGATGTTCACATTTGTTGCCATAGAGCTAAATAATAAAACACTAAACAGAAGGTCACTGTTTTTCCTGCTTGGGTTTGTACAAGCCATTCTTCACGTTATGCTCCATATCAGGAAAAAAAGGTCATTTCATTTTGATTATTTTCAAAATGCCGCCAGTGATGAGCTCTTAGTTATAAACTCTGGCATGGAAGGAGCCAGGGCTTTCAGAATGATCTTGTTATGAGTGTTGCAATGCTTTGTCTCATCATGATTTTTTTCCAGCAATCACAAATTGCCAGTGTGCCACATGTTTCATGTATACACAGTTGTCCCACTTTGCAATTTTTAGCATGGTTTATTCTTTGTAAGTGTATCAATTATTCTTTGAGGCTTTGATGACCTTATACTTAATATTCAGTACATTTTTTACTACATTAGTGAGCCAACCTCCCATTACAATCATGGTTTTATTCCTGCCTTAGAGTACTTCACTAGTTCCCTAAAGGCAGGCCTTTGTTATGAAAATCTTTGGAGAGCTGCATTCTCTCTTTGGAATCATACTGCACAAAAGGACTCTGGCGATTCTGGAAATGTGGAAGAAAATGTATATGGCGGTTGAGAATTATATTGAAGAAAGTGGATAGCAGCAGAAGAAATGTTTCAGTAGAAAAACTGATCAGAATGATTAAATTTGTGTTGCTGGCTGTGGTGGCTTAGAATTGTGCAGATCCTCACATTTCAGAAATCCTTCTCAAGGGTGCTATTATTAACATTGATGTCTAGAATGAATGGAGAGAAAATGTTTCTGTGTCTGGGTGCTTAAGATTTTATAACCAGAAAGTCACTAAAAGAAAAGAATAGTAAAGCATTGCATTGGATATATTTAAAGTGAACAAATGTTGTGTGATTTGTAAAGTAGCTTCAATATGAAAATAACAAAAATCCAATTTTCTGTAGAAATCTTTCACTGTTTCCTAACACAAGAATACAGGACATGCAAAACAAGATGGAAATAATCAACAACCATGAATTTGCATAATGTTTATGTTTGGGAGTTTCAGCCAAAAACATATTAAACTTTTCACATATCAAAGAATTTTGTGTATAAATAGATATATTAAAAGGTCTTAAATTCCCTCAGTCATGTCCTCCATTATCATAGGAGGATATTATCACTGTGACAGAGCCATTGAAAAGTTTAATTTGTCTGCACTGAGTAATATTTGTTTGTAAATAAAACTCTAAGATATTGTGATGCAAATGTACACAGTGAACTGTAATTGTATGGAACGTCTTTTGGAAATTACTATTTTTTTGTTTGAGATGACTGTACACAAGCCCTTCTGATAAGCTGAAACCTTAAGTAACTGCTGTAACTTCTAACTTGCATGTTTAGGATGAAAGAAGATTTATCAGAAAAAGCAAAAGCCCTGTGAGAGCACCCATTTTTTTCAAGCCAAGGTTGAGCAGAAGTTTCATCAAACCTCGGTGAGTCATGAAGGCTGAGGTGCTTATCAACACAAGACAAACATTTGTTATGATGCGTAGATACACACAGTTAGTTTGTGGGTCTCTTGGGAAAGAGTAATGAAGAAAATAGGAAAAGAACATAAAAATGCCATGACAGGTCAGTACATTTTAATGCAAGGCTGTAATTCAGTATTTCAAAGGCTAAATTAATTAACTTGCCAATTTTTCTTAACATATCTTTGTACACTAGCATTATTGTTTTTTAAAGACTGTTTTACTTAATAGTTTAAGTAATAATGATTCTTATGGATTTTCTTAATGGCAGCACAGTGGTAGTTTTTTTAGCATTGCTGCCTTGCAGTGAGAAACCCTGGGTTCAGTTCCAGACCTGGAGTGCTATCTGTATTGAGTTTGTATGTTCTCCACATGTTTGCATGGATTACTTCTGGGTGCTCTGGTTTCCTTGTACAGAACAAAAACATACTGGTAGGTTAATAAGTCTCTGGTAAAATTGGCCCTGGTGCGAGTGTGTGTGTTTGTGTTTGAGTGTGTCCTGCATTTGACTGTCGTTCCATCCAGGGTGTACCCCGCCTTGCACCTGTTGCTTGCTGGGATAGGGTGTGACTTCCCTGCAATCCTGATTTGGATTAAGCAGATAGAAAATGAGTGGATGGATGAAATTTCTAAATTTTGTAGAACCACGTGTTTCTAGGCTGACATCTTTTGCATATCTTTTTTAGGTATAAAAGGGAAGATCATGCTTTCAGAAAACCTGGGTTTAGTTTCAGATTCCGAAGATACAGATCAGTTTCAGTTGTGAGATCACATCGGACTCTGCCTCCAAAGAATACATCCTCTCCCTCACCCGGTAGCAAGTCTGATTTAAAGAAAGATAACAAATGTTCAAAAGGGACATCAAAAGATCAAAATGGTATGTCGCATCCTGAGAAAGGAAAGAGTTGCATCTTAAGTTGCAGGTGTGTCAACGGAACATTAAAGGGTTTACAGTATTGGCATTTTACAATGGTATTCCACAAGGGAGCGCTTTCAAATGAAACCTGCTCAAGTGAGCTCATAGACGGCAGATGGCGCTGTTGAATTTTGTTGAAATTATTCCAGTGATGAAATGATGATCAAGGAGCTGCTCTAACCTGATATTGTAAATTGTCATTTAAATAATATACAATGTATAAAATAAGATTATATTCACGTTTCCACTTAGATTGGTGTAATATTTACAAATGTTTGCTGAGCTACCAGTTTTATGATTTAAGGGTCACTAATGTTGTTTAAAATGTTCACTTTCCAGCTAAGAAATAAGCAAAATTGCTAATGAGATACAAATGTAGTTTATCACAGGGACTTTATTACTTTATTCTTATATTATTGACAATATATGACTGCTGTAAATCTTTCAACACTAGTATTTTTGTTCGCTGCAAATATGTCAGTGGCTGCAATAAACATATTTCAGAACAGTGCAAATAAAATTAAGACAAATAAGTATTGCAGAAGGAATACTTTTATGTTTAAGATGCACATGCAAAACCATTCTTATGCTTTAAGTTACTGGTAACTCTGGTAACTGGTAACTCAAAGCTTCTAAATATTCTGAAGAAAGAATTAAATCTGTTTTAATTTAAACCTGAAGCATCAAGCATATTCGGGTGGCTGCATATTATGAGGTCTCTTATACTGGTGTAGCAGAGAAGCTGGGTGACTCACCAACGCCTCTGTGAAAGAATGGCTGGGCACAAAGCCAGCTGTAAATAATGAGCAATAGAAAAGCTATGCTTGTGTGTAAGAACACTGCTGTGAAATCTTCCAGGGTCGATTTCAAAGTCATATAGAAAACCTTACGGGATTTTTTTGAAAGAATCATCCATTACTGAAGAGAGAGGGAAATATTCTTACAGGAAAAACAAAATCAGCAGTTTATTTTGTAACTAATGTTAAATTATGTTTGGGCTCCCAGACAGACTAGCCTGCTGATGTGCTTCATCCTTAATTCTGTGTGGAGTCCAGCTCTGCAGTTTGTACATTACTCTGGGCATTTAAACATGGGATTCATTGCTCCTTGAATTTACAGTCTCTGTCAGGGGCCTGGTCTTCTGGTTTTCATTACAGCTGATCCCAAAATGACTAAAGTAAACCAAATTATTTTCTTAATTAGTACAAGAGAACAAGTTTTCTATATTCTTACTCACTGAATATTTATAACTACCTATAAAGCTTGAAAGACTGTGGCTTTCTGACTTTAGTTGTGCAAAATTTCTGTTGAAAATATTATTACATTGCATGTTACTTTATTACTGAAACGCAGTTTTTTTTAGATGTTCAGAAGTCATTCAAAAGCAAAAGTAGAGAAAAGGAACCTGAGATCTTCTCAATTAAGGTAAGGACTATGTTGATTTTCAGTTACGTTTAACAAGAACAGAAGTCTCAAACAATAATACAATACAGCATAAACTTTATTCTTCTCCTTGAGAGTCACCAGATTATTCCCAGTAAAGGATATCTTTCTCTAAGATAATATGAGGATTTTATGCTCTTAAAAAACTTAATCCTGTCATGTTTATGTCTGACAATACCTTAAAATCCCTTGGATTTATTTAAACTACTCACACTGAATTGCAAAGACTCCTACCTGTTTTCCCTGGGAACCTCACAGGGTGGCTTTAAAAAAAACAAAGAAAAACACAAATATGTATGTTTAAAGAAAGGACAAAAACAAATCTTTAATTGAATACCTTGCATTTAATTATAGTTCAGTTCACATTAAGCTCTTTTGTGCTTAACACATTTATTTTTGCTTAACTGGAATTTTCATGTTGTGTCTGACATTCACAGACTCATCAAAACAGTAGTCACAGTGCCTAGCTACAGCTTGTGATAATTCATTGCATATTCTAATCTTAATTCAAAGCTTTAATATTACAGATGATTGGAGTTTGCCCAGTATGTATGAAAAGGAAGCCAAAGTTAAATCTTTTCTGTATACTGTAAGTGTTGTAAACTGAAACTTAAAATATTTCAGAAATGGAAACACCATACCATGAGAATGACCGCGGCACTGTTGTTACCACTGAATCAGACTGCCCCTTGAATGTTTCATCTCAGCTGTTGTAGCGTATCTTTCTTCAAGATATGGTTAGCTTGATACTGCTTTGTAGTCCACAGATTAAAACTATTCCCATTTAGAAAATATGTTGCCGGCTTTTATTAATCAACTGTGAATTAAATACCTGTTAGAACAACAGTCTCTTAAAATGTAAGTGTTCCTTAGGTGAATTGAATGTTGTATTAGTCATGCTCCATCTGGAATCCTTTTTGGAGCATAAAAGCAATTTCCTTGTGAAGCGTTACTGGTGTATGTCCCAAGAAGCCATTTGCTTGATGTCTAAAGGATTGGTGCACCTGTAGTGTTTCTATAAAGATGTTGGACACCATGTATTGTAAAAGTATGATAATTAATTGATTTTCCTATGGAAGTCACATGCATGTTAGAAGAAAAAAGACAGTCTGTCATGGGATGTTTCTTAAGCATATAAGAAAGAAAAGTGTTGAACAAGAGGAGGCCACTCAGTCCATCTAGCTTGTTGTTGTGGTAATAGCGAATTAATTAAAGAGAAGCCACCGGTTTCCAAAGCATGACTAGTAGCTTATTCCAGATTGCCACGCCCTTGTATGAAAATTGAAGCCTCCTATTCTCAGTTTAAATGCAGTTCTTGTTAGTTTCTACTTGTATCCTCTGACATGTTTCGCAGTTGATTTTGAAGACGTCAGTTCGGTTGTGAATCAATCGAGTTCCATTTGAATATTTTCTTATTAAGGCTGTAGAGATTTCGTTTGTTTAACCTTTCAGTATAACATATTCCTGAAAATATACCTTCATAATGGTTTCTTTAGGTGTTTCAACAGGTTTAAAGCTGGTCAAGAAAAAGGTCAAATATGACTGTGTTTCATTTATGGTACATTTAGGGAAACTGATATTATTTCTAAGCTTTTATATATCTGGGTGATAATTATTGGCCTAAATGATCTGTTTGAAGTTTGAACATCTCTGAGTACATAAGATAAATCAACAAGAGTCAATGATTACTTTCGAGGTTAGTGTATTAAAACACTGTCTTAGAGCGTTAGTTGAAAACGGAGATACCCTTAGACCACACTTAGCAGAAATCAAAAATCATTCTGACAGAAAAAAATGTGACTTAGATACATCTTGCTATAGTGGAACTGTAACTGCTTGATTAGATGCCTTTTCTTATTATCAGTCTTTAACCTTTTTTTGCACTCCCAGTCTTTGAATGTGTCCCATTGCACATTTCTTATATTACAGAGAACAGAAAACAATGCAAAAAAGAAATTAGCAACTCATTTTGCAGAACATTTGCATAGCCTGTTGCAATACTTGCAAAAGTGGATTTTGTATTGGTAGCATGTGGCCTTCTTTTTACCCATTTGAAACAACTACAAAAAAAACAAAAGCTGTGCCAGGAAACAAATCGCATTTTCACAGACTGCTACACAATTAGCGATGAGCTGGTTACTAGGAAGGTCTACAGTCAAGAGGAGACAGAGCCAGGTGCAAAGGGCATTATCTTCAGGATAATTGAAAGCAATGATAATTAGGAGTCTTGTGCTGGTGGCTAAAGTACTTAAGTAAAGACTAGGTCAAATAAATGTAGTTTTGTAAAGTCTACTGCCACAATTAGAGTAACAGGGACATTAAATTAGTCAGTATACAGATATGATTACCTCTAAAATTGCTGTTTCTAGTATCTCTGTGATGTAGCTTCAGTGTTAATACATGACCAGTATGTGAGTGTTAGATAAGGGTAACACTTGTTAAATTATGAGGAAACACAAAGCTTAATAATAGGCTATACAGAAAAATCGTTGGCAGTACAAACTATAATGACTTTGACAGCTTTCACAATTGAAAGAATGATGTTAGTACAAGGATCATTAATTATAAAATGTCTTTTAAAAGGAATAGCTTTATTTAACTTCAAGGGCAACAAGAGAATTTCTGAAAAGGAATTTTACGGGGGATTTTTTTAAGGACGTAATAACTGAGATGTTTCCTAAGAAGGAGATGTTCATATTTATCAAACCATTTGTTACCTTAATATGGCCATGTGTCTGGTGGATTTCAGGCTTTATACCACTATGTTCCCATGCCTTGCTATATATGCTTCAAAAACCTCACCTTTATATTTGCTCTTTCTCAATAAAACCCAACAAAAGGTCACAGAGGATGGTCTGTCTAACACGGAGTTGCCTCCTTCAGTGATGAGAGCAGCACTGCGAAACAGGGCAATCCAGCAGAAGAGGAGAGAAATTGAAGAGGTAATTTCAAACACTTTTCCTCACTGTGACAGATGTGCTGTGCTATGGCAAATAATGCCCCAAATTTTTATTAAATAAATTTAACTTCTGCTATGGAAGGTGATTTTTTAGTGTTTCTTAGTGCAAATGACAAATATGTTGGTATGCATCATATAGAATATAATACGCTACAAAATATATTCACATCTGTAGCCTAAAAGGCAGTAGGTTATGATAGATGGAGAATGTGTTCTTCTTGTAGTTTTGTAAAAGGCAAAGCAGTGTACAGTGGAAAAAATGATCAGCAAGAAAGGGCTAATTCTGTACTGAAAAGAAAAGGGGAAGAGGATGAAGTACAGTGTTTCGGCTGTGGAGCCTCTTGTGTTGTGTAAGGAAGAAAGGTAGGGGGCAGGAAAAAGAAGGAGAGACGTGGGGTGCGGAGACCATAGGTGAAGGATAAGAGGAGGCAATAATCTAGACTCAGATTCCAAAGGAGAAGTGTGAAAGGCAGAATCTGCGAACTGAAAGAGTTTAAGAAGACATTAATTGATTATTGAGTGCTGGGAAAATATGTGAACCCAGACTAAGGTTGATTATAGTCCCCAATTCCCCGATGTCTTACTTGCGTAAGAGTCTTTTGAATCCCACTGAAAGGATATAGAGAGATCATGCATTGGGGAAGTAAAATAGTGGTGAAAGGCCTGAGGAGGTCTTTGACTCTCTGTTCTGACATGTTGCCTAAATGGTTGGCCAGTCTTCTTTCTTTCCCCATGTCCATAGCAAAGCACTCTTTGCAAAAATTGCACGTGTTCCTTTGCAGCTCTGTGTTACACCCTGAGACAGCTTTCTGCTACAACCTCAGAAGTAAAGCACAGAATCAAAAATTTGACCTAACAAGCTTCAGGGACCTGTGGGGTTTGTGAACTTTGCTGAATAGATGCAGAACATGCACAGTATATGTTAAATTCTCCGCAGACATGTTGTACATACTTAATTTTAATAAGGATGAATGACAGTTTATTTAACCACATTTTAACAGCATTCCAAAGATGGAAACAAATGGCACAATAAATGTGTTGTATGAATCACTAAGCCTAATGAGATCCAGACTGCCTCAAAGCAGGAAAAATGTGTCCAGAAATTAAAACATCAAAGAAAGTTTCTGCCTCATTAACTACTAAAGGATATATTATTATATCCATTGAGTGTTGCAATTTAAAGTAAGCAACCCAGAGTTACAATAGCTTTGGGGCTTAGCAAGCAGTTCATATAGGTACTGAATTACATTACCTCTATCCATTTTCTAACCGCTTCATCTAATATAGGGTCGCAGGGTAGCTGGACCCTTTTGCAGCATGCTATGGACACAGAATGGAAAATACCCTAGACAGGACACCAGTCCATCACACACTCATACTCACACCAGGGCCAGTTTTCCCAGAAGACATAGAATAGAATGTCTTTGGACTGTAGGGGGAAAATGGAGCACTTGGAGGAAAAAGACTTTCAAGACTAAAACACTGACTGTGCATTATGATCCCATCCCCCTAGGTAGTGTTGGTAATGTAGCTTACTTTTAAGAAGTAATTCATTATAGTTACAAGTTACTTGTATAAGGGATTACATTTTAAAATGAAAATGAAGTTGGAGGAAATGCTTTAAAAAAAGGTATCGCTTACAGTGATGTATGTAGTGTGTGCAGTTACTATATAAATATATAAATAAAATAACAATTTCCCCCAGCTTTTTATTAATTGAAACAAGTCATTACTTATGCATGTACCTTGTAATTGTAATGGATTAACATTTAAAAGTAGCTTTTTCTGATGCTGCTTCTAGGCATTATAATGAAAAAGAGGCAGTTCAAAGAATAAGGAAGTCTGCAGAACAAATTGACCTCCTGATGGTCTTTCCTTGCAACGGCCACTTGCCCACTGAAAGAGGACAGTCAAGTAAACTGTTAACTGGTGTAGTGGTATTCCATTCTGTTAAAGGGAGGAGCTATTGATAGTGACCTGTTTAATGTATTAAATATAACAGTGTTGAACCTGGTACCTTTATTCATCTTTAACAAATATGTGTTTTGCTGTGCAGTTCCAGCCCAGCTCGTTTTCTGAACACAGTCACTGAAAGCTTTAATCAGAGGTCGTTGAAAGTTGTTTGACTGTGGGAATGTCAACAGAGGAGGCTGCTGTACTCAGGACCGACAGAGGAGCAGGTACTAACAAAGAGCAGTGCAGGTGGTAGGCAGATGGGAAGCTCAGGGATTCAAACTCATTAATGTCATTAGACATCGGAAGATGGCAGAGTGCATGACAGCTCTGTTAAACAGATGGACCTCTTGGCATTTGAAGATTAGAATATTCAAAACTGTAATTTCCATCTAGTTTTACGGCTCAGAGTCACAGATTAGAGATCATTATAGAGCTAAATTGTATGCAAATTCAATTTAAATGCAACCCACACTCAAATTCTGTCATTGAAGAAATTGCGAAGATGCAGCATACAGTACAGATGCAGTAAATTCCTTTTATTACATTGCTTGTCTTAGGATTAATAAAGCTCCCTTTCCTTTTACTGAAAACTAGGACAGCCAGAATACTTTGGGGCTCAAATTTCACACTCCTCAAAAAAACCAACTAGGGGGCTTTTGGGATTTAAGTGGAAATGTTTGGAAGAGCAGATTCCAATAATAAAAAAGATATCTGGGAAATATTTAATTTAACTGTAACATACTGAGCTTCAGTTCTGGAATTGATACTTCATCTTTAAAATTGCAGTTTAATTTCCATTACCATAACATTTAGTATGTTCATGATTAGTTCAGACACTGAAATATGGCTGGGATGTGCCAAGTTCTCATGTCAGTGCTACAGTGAGCTCACTCTGAAAGATAACAACAAGAACTTGTACTGGGATTCTGTGAGCCCTAGACACCTGACATTGCTTGTTCCCATCAAAGCCAAGTTTAAAGAATAGCTTTGATGTGTGACATTCTATAGCAGTACATTATCTTGCCATCCTTGAGTTTTTTTGAGAGAAGTATGTTAAGAAACCTTGAATTACCCCCCACCCCGGTCTCAGGACTGACATACAGTAGGAATCTATTCTAAAAATCCAGAGCCCAGGGTATTACAAAAATCCATCATATGTCTAAAACAAAATAACAGGCAGAAAATGAAGTACAGAGACACTGGGGGAGGTGAATCTGTTTCTAAATTTTTCTTAACATCTGATCTCTAGCTTACTGAATAACATTCTGTCCACCGACAGAGCACTGCTTACTTTATAAGAATGTGCCAGTGTCTGGAAAAAATATTGAACCTTGATGAGTACATTTCATCCCACTTCCTATCATTGGCTATACAAGTGGTGGAAGGCTTCACATACACATTCCAATGAAAAATTAACCAGCTTTAAAAGGCAGCTTGATCTCTGAACACCATAAACCCTGAATTAAAAATTAAAAGTGCTTTAAGATTTTGGTCACAAAGCTTGCTAAATGTATGGAAACCTTCACCAATAGCAGGTCCAGTTAATGCAAGTAGTACTGTCTCTTAATTTAATGTGAACTTATGTAAATTACTCTGTCACAGTACTAATTTATGACTATGTGTCTCTTTTATTTTAAACTTTGGTAAAATTGCTCAGATGAAACTTAACATAGATACTAGTTTGTCAGTAACACAGCTTAAATTGTGAATGAAAATATGATTATCATCAGCGGTAATTAAGCAGATATCATGAAACTATACTGGTGAAGGATAGAGAGCTATTGTACCAAATCGAAGTACATTGAAGCAAAGAGCACTATTTGCATGCTAGTTAGAATATCTGGCAAAAACAAAGATGATAAACCACTGAAATATATACAGGGAAAAATCATATACTGAAAAAAAGGTTCAGAAGGAAATGGCTGGTTACAAAAGACTTAATGTGTGTCACTTTTCACTGTTTACCAGAATCTTTCTATGCTTTGCTTGCCTTATGTATATATTTGTGCAAAACCCACTTTCTATTTTAGCTACTGTCATTTCCATATTAAAGCATCAGGCGTTCCAGAAATGCATCGCATTCAAGTTATATGTATAGAAACTGGTTTAAACCATTGATTATTTTCTTTAAAACTTTGTAGCTTGTTCCAAGCTTTCTCATAAACAGAGACAGTCTTCGTCTTTGAGGAGTTTTATGGCTGCAGAGAAGCAAATGAACTTGTTCATTGGGGGAGATGCTCAACTTTTATGGAAGCTGGAAGGGGCATTAAGGGGCACAGGAGAAGCTTGTGAGGGATTAGAAAAGCATGGGATCTGGATGGGAATGACTTAACAGGTAATCCTTAGGAAAAGATTGCAGAAAAGTCAAGTTAAATTGTTATATGAAAGCAATCCAAGCATTCCTTTATCAGAAAACCAGTTATTCCTGGTAAGGGTAACAGCAGCCTGGCGCTTATCACCGAGGCATAGGGTGCAAACTGGGACTCCATCCTGGATAAGACACCAGTGCATCACAGGACACATACACACAACACACAAAGGCACAATTTAGAAACAATTAGAGGTTAATTCCATGCTGAAAAGTAGAAAGAAAGGAAAGAAAGAAAAGCTTGCACCTTAAGAAGACCCAACTGCCAAATCATGTTTATTTTCTCTTTTCAGAGTGGAATTAACTGGTACTTGTCCCTTTGCAGCCTGCTTGAACAATTTAGAGAGACCCATTAACCTAGGATGCATATCTTCATGAGAAGGGAGAAAACTTAATCACCTGAAGAAACCCCACGTGAATATCTGGAGACCATGCAAACTCCACACAGAAGGTGTGGCTGTAGCATTAACTGCCATGTCACCGTACACTCTGGGTAGAAGCAATCATAACAGTAAAACTCCCTTTGCTACCTGCTGTTTCTCAAGAAAGATTAACTAGTGCTTTTATGAAGATGACCTCTTTCAGAAGATTATATGTGACTGAAGCCTTCACATAAAAGATACTGGATGGAAATTATCCTGTAATTAATACTAATGTCAATGGTAATTTATTATAAAATATGAGCTTCTTGATAACCAGGCCAAAATAGTTTAGTAGAAGACAGGAGGGATTTTAATTAATTTTGATTTACTTCGCTGTTTCAGAAGTCTTGAAAGATTTTGTAATCCTCTTCTGTGTTACAGAAAAGGGGTAAGATTTTACATTTCATAAATAGCTTAGCGTGTGTAAACACTAGCCTTGAATGCTCCAGAGCCCTGAGACGCTAATCCAGTCTGGTGTAATTGAATGCACATGACAGTACAGACAACAAGTCAGCATCTCTCTTTCCGGTCATGCGTCTTATTTTAAGGCCTCCTCCTTCCATTGCTGGGTGGAACACTGAGATGACATACCAGCTTCTCTTATTTGTAAATAATTGACTCCTTCTATTTTTGCATATCTCAGCTAAGCTGTAATTTAATGCAGTTTGCTTAGAAAGACTAGTAATTATGGGTTTCAGCAACTTCCAAAATGCTTAAAATGCTCAACATTTCTCCTTATATGGAACAAGTAACTCCTGTTAACTTTTCACTTTACTGGTTATTTTCATTGCGTATTTATTGCTTTCCGAAACCTATTTTAAGACATGTATGATATTATTTGTTATCACATATAGTGTTTAGTTCTTATTTTAGATGCTTTTACAAATACATTTTCACTTGTATTATAAAAAGTGCCACACTAAGTCATGTCATAAATTCATCATTAAGAACCTCAAGTTCCTCTTTAGTACTTTGCCAGTTACCTTTGGAAATGCCTTCAGAGTAGGTGATGAAAAGAATGCACTATTTATCACACATTTCCATTTGCTTTCAGCACATTTATCCTTAAGATAATAAAACCTGAGGATGTGCCAAAGATGAAAAGCAAGAACCAAACAGAAATAAGAGAATATACACAGGGTAGACTGTATAGGAACGCCGAAATGGAAATAATGCCTAATAATATTCTGTCACAAACTTTAAAAAAAGTTCCTACGGAATGATACATTTTTGTTGTTATATTTTATTAATATTTAAACCAGAGACTTATGTTCTGCTTAAGCTTTTCCACATGGATCAGAAAAAATATGTTTCAGAGCATGAGTTATTAAAGAGATGTCCAGCAGAAGCACTGAAAAAAATGAAAAAACAGAACTGGGGTGTGGTAGTGTTGTGTAATTCTTTCTAAAACAATAGATTCGGATTTAAATTCTATTTATTAGAATGGCACATGTTGTTGAGCAAACACAGAGCTATGAAATGCATGATTGATAAATTACATCTTTGCTTGGGAAACAGACACTATTTACAATAAATAGAAACAACAGTACTTCTTTTGTCTATTGTCGTGACAATGTTATGTTTTCCATTAACTTCATTTTGATTCCAGCATGTCTGTGTCACCAATTTGATTGGCATGGAGCTGTACCATGACTCCCGGCAAGAATCGATTGGAAACGCTGGCTGTCAGACACTGGGTTACATGTGCTTGCTCCGCTTATTTTATGAGTTTAGCAATTGCCAAAAGAATTAACTACTTTGGAATGGATGCAAGAAGAAATATCTAGAAAGCACTACATGACTCTTATAAATGTGTTTATAACAGGCTGAATCTTGTTTAGCATGTAAATGACTATGAACAGATATAATGAAGTGGAGTCAGTTTTTATTCAAGATAAAAAAAATATAGCAACATTTTAGCTTGGTAGATTGGACTGTGTATAACATTTATACACATAATTTCTTCAAATCTGCTTTGGTACAACAGGAATCAGATATTCATTTGTTGGCTTTTTCAGGTTTTAAATATAGGTTAAATATAGGATTGGTTTTAAATGTTCTGATCATTTATACTGAGATAAAATAATTTTATGAGCACTTTTCAACAAACCCAAAGCACAAGAGTATTCATGTACACAACAAAAGCAAACAAATAGTGAAAAAAGAACAGCAAATTGTCTCAGTAAAACCAAGAGCAGATCTACATTATATTCTCAAAATTACAGTGAAAAGATAAGCAAGGCAAAATAAAGTGTAAACATGTTGACAATTTTAGCGTCTCTAAAGGATCTGGGGAATGAGTTCCACAGACATGGTGTTGCACACGAGCCTGTGGTCTTTGGCAAGGAAAGAAATCCAGGATCATCTGATGACAGATTAAGACCTGGATTATTCTCACATAATAAATCCTTAAAATAACCTGGAGCTCGACCATTGCAGACCTCCGTAGAGCAATGCAGTTTCATTACTGATTAACTAAGGCTTGGTAGCATAGTTCAGTCCATGTTTCTCTCACACTGGAAAAAATTAAGCTTTCTTTAAGTTGTTTTAAAATGTTGTTCAAATGTTTTTTCTTCTAATACAATCTCAGGCATATGTGGATAAGTATTGCCATCAGTGTCTAAAATAATGCTAGTCATCAATTTGTGAAGTATGGTAAACTAGTAATTTGTCAATGAGACCTTGCCAGAGTGTATTGACAGGGGATTTCAGTGCTGTCTGCCAATATAAAACCAACAGTGAATACGACGTGTAGATATCTTACCAACTGAACAGTTTAACTCTGTAAAAGTGTAAATGGAAGTGAAGCCCAATTTGATTTTGTGGAGAGATTGAATTTTTGATGCAGTTGGCCACCCAGGGATTGACTGTGTATATTTTGCTTTACAGGTCTATAGACAAGATTGCGACACGTTTGGAATTGTGGCAAAAATGCTGATTGGGAAGGACCCTTCTTTGGAGCAGTCCATCCAGTCGTCTCTTCAAGCAAACCTCAAAGAAATCGGGCAGCGTTGTGCTGAGGCCATGCAGAATTTCATTGATGAATACGATTCTAAATATCCCAGCCCCTGCATACCCCCTCAGTTTTAACCCTCTTCCTCTGTACTACTCCCACTTTCGATCACTGTCTAGGAAATAAGGCATCACTTTCACAACCTATTCATGAGCCACCCATCAATTGGGAAATTCTGTAAAAATAATGTATTTGAAGATGGTAAGCAAGGTAAAATGGTTTTGGTACTCTATGAAAAAATACTATTGATTTGTTATACAAATATTTTTGCCCTCTATATTTAGCCATAGCTGTGTCAAATTTAACTACAAATGTGATTCAATAGGAAAAAATGTTTTTTGTTTTGCTCATATGATCTGAAAATTGGCTAATTTTTAACTAGCTAAAAAAGAGCAGCATCATATGTTTTCTGAAGAATGGTGATGTTTCATTTGCAAAAACAAAATGTTCAAACTTATTTATACCCCTAAGTCTCTACAAAAAAATTACAGAAAAAAAATCCTGTGTCACCATTCTGTAGTCTGGACATTTATGTAAAGCTTCTGGAATATTCTAGGACTTTCTGTTTCAACGGCGTATAAAAGCAAGTAACACTGTAGCAGGGAAGTCCTTCAGCAACATTCACATCAAGATGAAAAGCAAAGAACCCTTACAAAAGTACAGGCAAAGAATCAGTAATCTTTAACAGTTGGATAATGGCTATATCACAAAATGCTGAACCTACCAGATTCCACTATAGTGTCCACCATTAAGAAGTTCAAGGCCATAGGAACAGTGCCAGGAAAAGGGCACAAGAAAAAATTACCACCATGTACTGAGAAAAATCTTTTTAGGAAACAACCACAAACCCAGAATTGAAAAGTTCCAGATCTCTCTGACTGTTTTAACATCAGGATACAATGTCTCAAAAACCACCATTCAATGTCAACTGCACGAATATGATGTTCATGGCAAAGTTACAAAGAAGGAATATTTTCTGAAGGCCCAACACAAAGAGACAGTATGGAATCGAACAATCTGCATCTCCATGACATAAGACAGTTGGGTCTGTGTCTTATGGTCAGATGAAACCATATTTGAGCTTTGTGTACATTCTCAACAGCGTTATGTTTGGCGGCAAGGAGGTGAAGCATGTGCCAAGAAATACATCATGCCCACTGTGAAATATGGAGGTGGATCTACTTTGCTTTAGGGTTATTTTGCATTTTTGGTCCTGGTGCCCTTGTTTGACTGGAAGGAACAAGGAATTCAAGAATATACCAGGACATTTTGGCCAAAAAGCTTGTACCCCATAGTAGAAAAGTTAAAGCTAATTTGAAAATCACATTCCAGCTTGATAATGATCTCAAGCATACATTGCGCTCTACAAAGTTAAGTGAATACAAAATGAATGTTGTTAACTGGCCATCATTACCCCCAGACCTGAGTCCAATCTACCTTTTGTAGTTTCAATTTCAAGCAGTTCACAAAAGAAAAAGTTTTCTCTGGCTTTCCTCTGAAGGAATGGTCAAAATTTCTACCACAATTCAATAAAACACTACAGGAAGTGTCTTCATTGTGATCGGAGTGAAAGATGCACAAAGAACTTATGGCAGGGATGTGAATACTTTTGGCGGAAAACAAAGCTTTCATTGATCTTTTCATAGTTTGCTGAAAAGTTAGAAGGGCAAAAATACCACAGTCATTTTCTGTAGAATCATTTTTTTTAGTAACATTTATCAAAAATATGGATAAATATGGAGGGCAATATATATAGAGACTGTTTTGCAGTCTGTGTTTTTATGATATAAATAAATTATTAGATACTAAAGTGAGAAAACCTCAAACACATTTAAATTTTTAACAGTACTATTGTGTATATTTGGGGAAAATGTTAAAGCATTAGTCGTTACATTAATAATTATGAGATAGTTTTGGTTATGGTTATTGTGAAATAATTTTAATAATACACTGATAAGGTACTAAAGCAAATGAAAGCGTATATTTACATTGTATGGATTTTTACTCATTGTGAATTATATTTAAATATTTAATAAAACTGTTGTTAAATAACTCAATGTTTTGCAACAGGTTTGTTTATAGTATTGGAATACATGTAGTAATTTCTCAATGTGACCAAATATTTTCCATAACTGTTTTGTGTGTTTTAAAATTTAACATTTGTAAAGCTTTTCCATTTTGTTATTATACTAAATCATTTTTCTTTTGCAAAAACTAAAGTTCCAAATATAATTTCATATTAAAACAATAAAATAAACATTTTCGAATTAAGAGCATTTAAGAATAAGATCATTTAAGAACTCTCATTCCTTTGAGAAGACATGCAAAAGTTTATATACACCTTTAATTTACAAATTTCTAGTCCACGTGTTTCAGCTGTAACAAGTATGTCATTGTGGCCGCTTGTTTAATGAACTGAAACCCACTGACCAGTGTACCATGTTCTCAGTTTATTTTTTAAATGCAGGTTTTGTGTCTTGAGAATTAACTGCAATTCAGGTCTGTTCCTTCCTCATCTGATTGGTTCAGGTATGTGGTGACTACTTTGTCATGGTAACGTCAAGAATCATTCGAGGTAGGAAAACGATTATACATTTCAGAAAGTGGTTTTCCAGTGGGCTGACTCACATGCTAAATTAGACATTTGATCAAATAAATAAACTGATTTTTAACAGTGCATAACATATGCACAGATGCTCAGGTAACTAATGTTTCTTTTTTCCCTTGAGACTTTAGTCTAGAATACTGCAAAGGCATGCAGTGCACTCCGAGTAATTGTCTTGCAGTTTGGTGAGTGATATATGGTACCCTCTGGGGATGTTTTTTACTGGGGCTATTCCTTTAAAACAGCTTTGCTCTGACTTCGGTTTCCATGCAACCACTCTAATGGCAGCATTTCTTAAAAACACCAGAGGTGTCCTGCTGGGCTATTTGGAGAATTGCTATTTGGAGAGCTTCAGGAAATGCCTTTTAAATCAGGAACTGATCTTTTTTAAAAGAGATACAGCATATATTATGTCTCTAATCGTCTTCAGATGTAGTAACCAGTAACTAGAAAGAAATTACTTCAGATGAGTTCACAGAGCTTTGTGGTAGTGAACTGGTCTGAGAGGATAAATTTGCTATCAATGTTACTCTCTGCAGTAGAAAATGCATTTTTGAACATGGTGACGAGCTTAATTGTTCATTATTTATCAGTGATAACAGTAATAATAAGTAGTTCAGGTGGGTAGCTGCATCAGCATGCGTAGGCTGCAAAGGAACAATAGGTTTATTCCTTGATGAAAAGAGAAGAGAGAAAACATAACATTTCGGCTGTGGAACCCTCTTCAGGTGTTATGATGTAACAGACATAACTTCTATGAATATACAATGGTTAAGAGGAATGCCCTTTTCTTCTGTATTTAGCTTGCTTTCAGATCAGGATTGGTGAAATGAAGAGCATTGCTGCCTTGCAGTGCTGGGCCCTGGGTTCAGTTCGCGAGGTGTAGAGTTTGTATGTTCTCCCTGTTATTGGGTTTCCTCTGGGTACTCCGGTTTCCTAACACAGTCCAAAGATGTAGTGGTTAGTTAATTGGCTTCTGGGAAAATTAGCCCTGGTGTGACTTGGTACGTGTGTGTGCCCTTTGTCGGACTGGTGTCCCAACCAGGGTGCATTTTGCCTTGCGCCCACTGATTGGTGGGATAGGCGCCAGTTCCCTAGTGCCACTGAATTAGCCTAGCAATTGGTTAATATTTTAGTTAGGAAATGGATGGATAGATGAATTTGGTTTCATTTCAAAACATGCAGCATGACAGATGTATAATCTGACTGTTGGGGTTAACACTTGTTCCCCCGGCATGCACATTTCATCACAGGAGACCTGAGGAGTTCGTCCAATTAAAAAACAGGCCAAACAGTTATGCACCATGAAGCATACAGAAACAACAGTTACACATAATGAATTAAATAGAATTATATAGCCAAAGATATATACACAGTATTAAAGTAACAATATGTATATCACATAAAAAGTGACATATACCACACATAAAACTCCATGCAAAGCCGCTTTTGTACATCACAGAGTAATATGTACTGTAGGAGAAAAAGCAGCATGATGGATCACTTTTAAAATGGACCATTTAAATCTATACAGATTAATTAGATTTATGGTTTCAAATTCACTATGTATTCAAGATGTATCCCAGTCTCCCTGTATTTAACAAATTAAACTGAAGCCCACATTAAACTTGCATGTTATAGCACTTTTGATTCAGCATGTTATTTGGCCTTCTGTTTTTCACTACTCAAAACACCAGACACTCAAACCAGGGCTGTGCAAAGCAATTTGCTTCTTTCTTAAGTGTAACTACAATGTTGAAATATTCCTTTGAGCTTCAGGTTTCCTCTTCATGGTCTTTCACATCATGCTGAATAACAACCACATGCAGGTTGCCGTACAAGTTTAAAATGGTGGCTATTTGACCCCTTTAATCTATTCAGTAATTAGTAGTAAATTGATCCGAGCATCTTATCAAACTGTTTCTTGAAAGAAGCCAGGGTATCATCTTCCACAGCAATTCTGAAAAATAGCTTGTTCCATACTCCCCTAACCCTTAACTTGGTTTAGTTTTTATATTGCTTGGTGTATAATATATAATGATGACTACTTCACTATCAAATGCATAGTTTGGATTATACAGTATGAACTAAATCATTACAGACCAAAAGGTCCAACTTCTATTACATGTAAGGTGTTAGAAACAACTAGAAAAACTAAACTCATATTATATGGAACTTACTGTACAGTATATCCTAGGAAATAGTCAGCATGTATTTAGAAAAGGTAGTTGTTGCCTAACCAACATGTTAGAGCTCTTTGAACAAGCAATAATGGTAATGGATACTCACAAGGCATATGATATGATGATAATGTTTTTGATTTTCAGAAAACGTTTGATTTAGTTCTCCATAAAAGATTCTCAAATTGCAGGCTGTAGGCATTCACAGAAACAAGAGTGTTTGGATTGAGAAAAAATATATTAAATAGAAATCAAAGGGTACAAAAGGTCAATACTCAAATGAGGGTGATGTAAAATCACTGCTGTATTACTACTCTTCTTAATTATCTTTTTTTTTAGATTCTTGAATAGTAAGATATTCATGTTTTGCAGATAATACCAAATTAGCAGGATTGTTTTGTAGAAGCTGTAAATGAAACTCAAAAAGATTTGGATAAAATTCACAACTGGTCAAACACCTGGAAGATTATAATTAATGGGGACCAGTGCAGGGTTTTGTGTGCATTTAGTAAAAAAACAAATTCTAAATACAAAATGGGAAAAGCTGAGCCAGCAGAGCAACTTCTGAAAAGACTTACGTGTTCATGTTGACACATCATGTACTATCTTCTAGACAATGTGGGGCAGCAAAATGGTAAAATGCTAGGATCTATGTTTAAAAGTTCAGAATTAAAATCAAGGAATGTTATGGTAAAATTATATACAGCCTAATTTAGAATACTGCATACAGTTTTAGTCATCATGTTATTAAAAAATATTTTGCTGCTCTGTAATCCATCCAGAGTAGAGCACTTGGATACATTCTGGGGCTTGAATATAAAACATAAGAAATGAACCTGATAAAAATATTCTAATTCTTCAAAGACACTAAGCAAAACTTTTCAGAGTGAACAGTAAAACATGAACCAGGAGACAGAAGTGGAAACAATGTGGATGTACATTTAAAACTCAAAACAAGAGGCGCTTCTTTACACAAAGGGTTGTGGGAGTATGGAACAAACCTGGACAGCCTGTTGAAGCTGAAACTTTGGTTTCTTAAGTGCTGGATGGGTTCACTGGATCAGAATTTGTTACCACACCAATTAAGTGGTAACAAATGGGATAGATAGGTCTTGAAATTTTAGTTTGAAATTTAAGTTTGTTTTTTTATATACAATATATATAATTGGTGGTATATGTGCTTACAAGCTTTGCAGAGAATATGCAGTGCTTTTCTATCCAGGATACTTATGGCCCTGCACGATACAGTCACCTTGTAACATATTTATCTTTGCAATGAGTGTAAACATTTTGCTGTGCGGCACGTTAATTCAGCTACATGACATTCCCCTTGCTTGCCTTTGAATTAAGAAGTCTGGCGCCTAGGGAAGGCAGACGCACAGACAGTACATTGTCCATTTATGATCTTGTTTAATAACTGTTTCTTTTCAGTAGCAGTCATTCAAATGTAACATTTTTCAGATCTTAGTTTATCTAGACCACAGTTATCAGTTGAAATCCTGTCAGCGTACATAATGACATTTACCTGGAGATCATTCCAGGACACTGAAAACATCAGAAGACAGATACCTTAAGTTGCTTTTTTTAGCCATACCAAGAAACAGATGAGTTATGAATGAAAACAGAATTTCTTTGAAGAATTAGCTAAATGTATATACAGTAGGTTTTAAAGGTTAACAAATATTAATTTTATATGATGTAGTCTTTTTTAGCATAACTAAAATAGCTGATGAAGGCAGTGGTAATGCCTTTTCAATACACTGAAGCATTTCAAGATTTGTTTCTTACAGATTCTAATTATATTCATGTTCTAAGGTTTTAGACCAAAAATGATGAACACCTTCATGCTGCTACTTAAGAGAGGACAGCAGTGCTCAAGGCCACCTTGAATCAAGTGTCAATGAAGACCACAAATGCCTTGTTTTGTATTTTTGCTCGCGGCAGATTAGGTCATATTCTTCAGCTGTTGAATATGTACTTTTGTAAGCCCTTTTCTTAACAGAGATATTTAAAACAAAATGTGAAAATGGTTTAAGTAAGCTTTGTGGTTAAAGGTAAAACCCAAATCCTCCTCTAATCCCCCTGGACACTTGTGTAACACTCTGTGTATACACCTAAGACTCTTTTCTGCATACCACAAACCTACACTTTGGTCTTGTGTGATTTCATCAGTCTGTTTCCCTAAACACTCTGGGAGAGACACTATTTGATTACATAAGTTACATAAACCTGCTAATGAGCTAAATCTTCATGAAGCTCAGTGTTATACTTAGACCTAATTTTCTCACAGTGCTGGGGCCCTAGGTTCAATTCCTGGGGTGCTGTCTGTGTGGAGTTTGCATGTTCTCTCCAGGTTTGTGTGGGATTCCTCTGTGTGGTACAGCTCTTTCCACAGTCCAAAGAAATACTGGTAGGTTTAATGGGCTTCCAGAAAAATTGGGCCTGGTGTGAGTGTGTGCATGTTTGTGTCTGTGTGTGCCCTGTGATGGGCTTGTAGCTGCCTTGCACCCACTGTGTGCTTGGTTAGGCTCCAGCTCTACCCAGCCTGTAGATAAAGCAGTTAGAAAATGGATGGATAGATTTTGCTGGAATATGCAGGATGGCACCTGATGGATATGAAAATATGCTACTGACAACAAGTAGTGAACAGATGGAAAAGGCTTCATTGAGTCATAATTGTGGTAGAAAAGATGGGTTTTAACTGTATTTCTTTGTGTGCAAGCACATGCAAACATATCTCTCCCATCTTATTCCTGTTTAAAAACCAAATATGAAACAGAAAGAAAAGATAATGTTCTAAAGAAAAAACAGCCCAACAGCAGTTCATTGAAATACTGTTTAATTCTGATTCAAGACAAGATCAAATAAACATGCATGTTTTCCTTCTATTGCTACATTATATAATACAGAAATGCTTCTATCAATACAAAATATAAAAATATGTAGTACCTCATTTACATAATATATACACTAAAATGTCCTTAACTTAGTGAATTTATGTACAATTCATAGAATTAAATTAAAATGCTAAATACGTAAAACCATACATTTTGCAAAAAGGCAGAACTGTACTGAACATTACTGTTGCTGAAAACGTTTCAAAAACAACAAAAACCATACTGCTACTGTATACTTCCATGGCTAAATGTTGGCAGTTTTAAGTTGTGTGCAAGAATACATTACATGAAGTTATATAAATTGAATAGTTAATGGGAAACATGCAAAATGTTTGTGTTATCAACGGTTACAGTAATATCAGTCACAAAACCCATTGTGGACCATACAATATTAAATTTATTTCCAAGTTGTTGATGCTTTTAAGATGAAATTGTACTTTATGAACAAACCGTTGGAGTGCAGTTGTGCAAGCCGACATTCCCAGCTGGAATAGTCTCGCCATCCCACAGACCTTCACGAAATGATGCAGTTCTTGCTTTTTCGCCTCTTCCTAGTGTGCAGCTGGCCCCGGCCGCCCAGCGTGGCAGAGCCTGCGAGCCCTGACGAGCCGTACTTGTGGAGCAGCTCGTCACTGGTCAGGTACCGGAGCTGAACGGGCCTGGGAATGGGCTCGCCCAGGAAGTAGCCTTCGTCCTCCGACTCCGAGGAGGACGAGCAAGTGGAGCACCAGTCGTCGTCGTCATAGTCATCGAAGTAAGGCCCCAGCCGATGGCCCATGGGGTTTTGAAGCGTCAAGTCCGAAGTGGTCCGCGGACACTGCCTGTAGGGCTCCTGTTTGTAACCATTCCCTAACAAATCTCTCCCTCCTCTGGCAGCAGCAAACTGATCGTAGTCTTCGCGGATATGCAGCTGAGGCCTGTCCCTCCCTTGACCGCGTCTTTCGGCAGCAAGGTGGAGGGCGTTCTCCGAGCGGGAGCGCCTAGACCTCCGCGAGCGATGGTGGTGGTGGTGGTGGTGGTGGCGGCGGCTCTCCTCCTGTTCGTTCGCCCGCCTCCGCATTCTTTCGCTCATCGGTGGCAGCCTGGTATTGTTGGCACTGCTCACCAGGTTAACAGGATCTTCTGCCTCGAAGGTAAAGCCTTGTGCCAGCCTGGACAAAGCCTGAGATTCCCTGTACTGTGCAGGATACTTCAGTCTCTCAGCCGGTTGCCCCAGGTCCTGGTAGGGCTGCACGGAGTTTAAGCTTCTGAGCGACTCAGTGCTCCTGAACTGAACTGAGGAGTTCAGGGTCCCCATGTTACTTTTTTCTGATACGTTCATGCCGGAGTCTTTGCTTAGATCTGGCATCGAAAACCTGGACAAATGCTCCTGGCGTTTGGTTCCTCCATCTGCTGACGTTCCTAAATAAATAATTTTAATTACAATTTGCACTTTTCAACAACATCAATGCCATTCGGATTCTAATTAAAATATACCTATAGTTGTTTTTAATATGGGACTTGGTTTATTTTGTAAACCACTGTTATTCTTTTACCTAATTAGTGTCTTATTTAGTTTTTAACTAATGTTTTCCCTAGTGGCACTATTCAAACCCTTTCTTTAGCAATACAATAGTTTTCTTTCTAGACATTTCAAATGAATTCTGTAAACAAAGACTAAAAGACTGAAATGGGACTAATTAAGGAACAATTATCTCTGCTAATCAACAAAATATATTACATATTTGTAATAACTAGAAGTTGGCAAAATAATCATATGAAATAATGCTTATCATTTCTAGATAACTAAGAGAATGACTTTAACAACAGTGGTATTTAAATAGCAGTCAAGTATCTAAACAGAAAAAATGCAATGAATCAACCAAGAATTCAAAAAAAAATTCCAAAACTTGTTCATTTTTTCTAACCATCTCTGTACATTATTGGGATAAAATTAAAAATAGCCACAAAGCAAAAGAGATATCACCCTGTTCACAGTAAGTTCACAGTAAATATCACGTTAATTTTGTGGATCCTTAGGCTACTATCATTTTCTTCTGTTTATGAACATATTACTGTGTAAGTCTACTTCCTTCAGACCACACAAATCTTCTGTCCAATCAATCAACTAATACTCACAAAGAAAACAAGTAAATATTTTAATTGAACAGTTCTATTGTTTATATTATGCATATATTTGAAATTGACTATGGTGGGAAGTAGAATAGTTATTTGATTAAAAGAAACCAAATCCATATTGTTATAATACATTACAAAGAAAAGGAGAATACCTGTTGCATTGGACAGAGCAAGAGACTCCATAGATCCCCTAGGAGTTTGCTCCATGGGCGTAAGTTGCTCAGTAAAGCTAAGTGCACTGATAGGGTTCCGTGTTCGGCCCTGCTGGGGCCCCATTTCTCTCTCTCTCTCATAACTGTGGAGGCTCACTGTTCTTTTCTCCGGAAACACATGGTTGGAAACTTCGCCAAAACTATCCTGTACTTTCAGCTTTGGTGAAAAATAGTCATCCTTGCCCTCGTGGATCCAGTTATCGGGATGCCCTTGCCCAGCTGAAGTGGAAGCTCTCTTTGAACCGCTGTTCTCCTGGGCCCAGGCGTCTGGTGGGTTCCCAGGACTCTGTGCGGAGCTGTAGGCTGTTCTCACATTGCACTGGCTGAGAAGCTGGAGAGGGCTTGCTGTCTGCTCAGTTTTACTGTCATACTGGTACAGCTCCTCCCTGCTCTTCCAAACTTGGGCATCCCGGTTCAAGCTAGGTGCCTGGCTAGAAAGACTGAGCAAGTCCATTTGCAAAGAAAGGGGGTCGATATCAGTTGAAAATCTGTTCGACGAAGCTGCAAGTAATGGCGCCGATAGCCTCGTGTCCTGCTTTCCATTGTTTTTTCCGATTTTGGCACTCCGGCGGGATTCCCTTGACCTTGCACTCTGGAATGCAGAATCCGAGGAATCAGAGCCATTGGGATCTTCTCCTACGCTGCAGGACCGGGAGCAAAAGATCTGACCTTGCTTAGGCAGGAATGGGCGGCCTAACAGGGACTTCTTACAGCGTGCGCAGCAGAAACAGGTCTCTGTAGCATGCCAGTGCTGACCATCATACGTCATCTGGCCTTGATCAATGCCTGATACAGCAAAGAAAATGAAGGTCAAATTGAGAACCTGCACAAACTAAAAGTCTGAAGCAAATGCTGAGAAGTATCCTATTGCTGGATGTATCCTATTAAATACATGAAACCGCTGAAGAATACTCGTTAATAGACTTTGACAGACTACACTTCTAAAAACAAATACAAAAGAAGAAGACGGGAAATCTTGCCCCACTTTATTTCTGAGACCTCTGGTTGGCTTTTTTTTAAGCAATCCTCCTAAATCCTACTGAATACAGTAATCAAAAATGCAATGCACTGTGACTAATCTTTTGCATGCCTAAAGTTATGCAAATCTTACTTATTCCATAACAATAAAAATAATTCTATCACGCTAATGTATAAAATAATGTATTGTATATTCCCAAAAGGCTGCTGGTATTTGAGAGTTAAGGAGAAAAATCTGTAACTATGCAAGATGTTTAAATGATAAAAGAACACACTGCATTTAAAGTATGTTTTCTTGTTGTGCCAGAATGAAAAAAAAACTTGGTCCTTAACAGATCACATCTGGTTTAGAGCTTGTTTTCTTCTGGTTTCAATTTCTAATCAGTTTTAGCTGAATACGTTTTGTATCCTGTCTAACTGGCAATCATGGCCTAAGTGTTCTTTTCTGCGATACGTTAAAACAGAGCTGGTATGATTTTGTTGCAGGAGTCTACAATATTTCGTTTCTTGGAACACGTGTTTATGGGAGATTTTCATTATTTGTGATTAGATTCCACTCTTCCAATGAAACTGATTAGGTCAGTAAGGGGTAAGGGATTTTAATTTTAAGAACTAATGATGCATAGCATAGGCTTGTAAAAAAATTTTACGTACAGTTTAAACTCGCACATATATCTGATGAGTGAAGCCCTGAACAGGATACCTCATTATTCCATTGTTGGAAACACGTGTTGTAAGAACACTTTTTTTCTTTATTTGAGAATGGACATCTACCACAGGTAAGGTAAAATTAAATAAGTAGACAAATGCAGAAAAAAAATAACTGTTGAGAAACTAGGCTTTACCTATGTGTTCACCACATGAATCACAGTACTCTGCATAGAGAGACTCAAAGCAGCTACAGCAGTAGGGCCTTCCCTCTTTCATTATGTACCGCTGGCCGCCCAGAACAGTTTCGCATTCAAAGCAACAGAAGTGTTTCATGTGCCAGTGTCTTCCTTCTGCTTCTGTGCACTCATCTGCAAAAATGATCTGCAAGACAAAGAATGCATGACTGACCTCCAGGTTATATCTCATTGCAGCAGTGTGATAAGGGAATATTTACTACTTAAACAGCAAGTGACAAGAGAGTTCACAGGCTCAGGAGTGTAATTCAACAATATTCAGATGTTGTTCAGACGCATATATATTTGCTTGAATTTTAGGTTTATAATCCAATTTTAAAAAAGGCTATACTTGGAAGGGTGATTTCTATACAAAATCAATCAAATCAAAGCAATGTATTCCTTTCTCAGTTTCTAATATATATATATACTGATGCATGGAATACTACTAATAATCATATACAGTAGGTGTTTTGTTACAAGACTCATTAACACAGTGATAAGCTTCCCCTTTGCATTTAAGTATGCAGGTCATTAACTGAGAAGTGGAATTTTCAAAGAACAAAGAAAACTGCAAAACAAGACAGGATTCAGTTTAATCGTTGGCCCAATTCTGGGTCGCAGCTAATTTCTAATCCTGTACACTGCAAGCAAAATGAAAATCTGCAGCACAAAATGGGTCTGTCAACCCTGTCCCTCTGGAAGGCTGGAGGGTCTGCTCAGGATCAGAGCTTTACTCATTCCAGTCCTTACCTCATCGCAGGCTGCACATCTGGGCTTGAGGCGCTCAGCATGGTGCCTGCCACAGTATATCTTCCCGTCTTGATAGAAATAAATGAGATCTACCAAGAGCTCGTCACATATGCTGCATACAAAACAGTGAGGGTGCCAGCAAACTCCATGCCCAGCTCGTGATGCGAAGATGGCCATGTCACCTCCATTAATTTGCCCACCACACTATTTCATGAGAGAGAAAAAGAAATAAACTGTACACATGAGGACATATCTGCACACCAAATACAGGATCTACTTTTTGAGCATATTATGGGAGTGAAAAAAAAGTGCAATCAACTCTAAGCCTTGTTATACAGTATCATGCTGATCCACATTCTTGATCCACACATATCAATAAGAAACGAACTTAGAACGCAGCATTTGATACTGCTCTAAGCTCTTGAGCTCTACATGTGATCAAACTACAATAAAAACTTGGAAGTGATTACATTAAAACCTAATCAGGTACATTTGTGGGAAACATTTTTTTAAAGCATTCTTTTCTGCTTCTGACAGGTTTACATGATTACAAAAAAACACTCCTATCTGTCACAGATAAAGGGATTTACTGTAAAATCCTTTGATAAAAAAAGAAACAGCAGGTGCCAGCAAAGCCAAAATTGTACATTTGTTCCTGTAACATCTGTTCTGATATAATAAAAGGAACACAGCAGAGATATGCTGCCAGTAAAACAAATCCTGCCTACACAGATATATAATTTACTTGTCACTCCAAATGCATGATCTTATCAAGCCAATTCACGGTATTACCAATAACATGCAGCAGTTCCGTTATTACATGCAGTTTTGCATTCTTTCTCACATTGTTGAAAACTGTAAAGGTAAAGGAATATTTAAGATTCTAAATTAATTTAAAAGCTGTCAAACAAAAAATATTAACAAACAACAATATGCATATTACAAGGGCTACCCAAATGGTAACTGACACAAAGGAAGAACATTCATCATGGTTTCAGATTTTAGCATTGTCATTGTCTTAATTCATATACAGTATAAGCCTTGGGTCAAATAATACAAATGAGTTTTAGAACAATGAAGTGTCACAGTGCTCGCACTGTGCATAGAATTCCATTTATGAATTCTGATATTCATTCTGATATATATATTGGACACTATGGAATGTGTGCAAACCAAGGCATTACCTGCTCACAGATTGCACCAGTCATCGTCACAGGAAAAGGTCTCACATTGCCTCGTCCTAAGTTCTCCCTTTTCCTCTGGTTGCTGAACAGTTTCAGCTCCCTTTTCTCTTCATCATCCAAAGAGTTGCAATACCGCACCTAAAACCAAAAAGACAAGAAAACTAGTGTCAATGAACAAATGAAGCCAACATAGTGACAGAATGACTAAATAAAAGTCTGAAATTGCTTCAAGGAGGTACCATTGTGATAAAATAAACACCACATTCAAGTCCTGCTGAAAACGAAGATCGCCTATGATTGCTGTACAAAACATTTTGGGAAGAATTTAACCAGATCACACTATTCATATTGCATGTAAAACATTTATGCAACAGACTGTAATTTATATTTGGGTACTTGCTCGTTAAATAATAAATGATAACAAAAAATCTAATAACAGTTCTTTCAACCACACAGCATATTGCCGGGACACTTTGTAAGTAAACCTCTTATAAACAAACTGGATTTCATCATCCAGCATATGTGGAAATCTGGAAACCTGGAAAAACAGGAGTGTTCAGTGTAGTACATATTAACTTACATCTTAGTCATGAATATTACTTTATTAAGTCTTTACAAGATGCCATTCTTCTTTCATTGGTTTTACCTTCATAACAAGAAAAAATAGTTTCCACTGCAGGCTGTGAAAGGAACATTTACCTCATTGTCGTGTGGAGGCAACTGATGAAGAAGCTGTTTGATTCTGTACTTCTCACCAGGGCTGTTAACATAGGGAACCCTGTCCTCAGGAAGGCAGCTGTAATAATGGTGCACCTGGAGAGAAATCAGTGCTGGCTTTAACAAAAATACAGACTGCGCCTATAAAACACAAGATCAATGTGGAGCTGTTCGCTGCAGAAGCAGTTGACAGGCTAATTACAGGCTAATCTTTTATGTAAAGCGGCAGAAGAAATATGAACAAGCCTGGATAGTTAAAGCAATGGCAGCTAACTTGTATTTGTCTGCGTTTCAAATGGGAATGGTTACAAACAAGTGGAGGCCATTCAGTCCATGTAGGCTATTTGGTACTTAGTAGTTAAGTGATCCAAGGATCTCATACAGCTGTTTCTTTAGAGAAGTCAGTATCAGCTTAAATCACGTGGCTCGTTAGCTTGTTCCACACACCAAAAGAATTTAAATGTGAAAAATTGTTTGATCTGCTTCCTTTTGAATACCGATAATGCAAGGCATTGGTTCACTTCTGCAGCCACATTAAATGTTAAAAAACAGTGTAAATTACTCCCCCGGTTTGAAAAAAAAGCCCTATTCAGCAGATTCACTGGTCATTTAGATATGGATTTTTCCTCCAACTGAATAACCCAGAAGACAGATATGAATGTGTAGTTATATCAAGAAGACAGTTAGCCTGTTTGGGCATGATTCTAAGACTTTCTCCTGTGTTTCAAGAAAATGTCTACATTACTGGAGTATATTTATTCAAAACTGCCACCACATTTCCAAATGCACAAATTCATAAGCTGCCGATTCAGTTTTTAAAGCATGAAAAAGTCCCTTTAATGTGCTGAGACAGTGATTGTGCCAGAGATGAAACAAGGCTACAGTTGTTGCCAGGCAGAGATGTTTATGCTTTTAAATGGCAAGACTTGAGAGAAAATAAGGCTAACACTAATGGAATGTGTAGGGGAGGCAGATGGGCTAAACCACTCCAAGAAGTGATATATGGTAGTGTACAAAATAGGATGGTCTGCTTGATTCTGAAATTCACTACTTACTGCTCATTTCTGTCTATATCACATTCATGTAACCCCATATTTCATTGGAACAAGTAAAGGTTTATTCCATGCTGAAAAGAGAGGAAAAGAAACACAACGTTTTGGCTGTGGAGCTGTCTGTGAAACACCCAAAGAAGGCTCCACAGCCAAAATGTTGCATTTCTTCTCTTTTCAGCATGAAATAAACCTTTTCTGGCTCCTTCGCAGCTTACGCATGCGGACGCAGCTACCTTCTTGAACTACTTCATTGCATATTTCTTTGCTTTATGTGATAACAGTAGCATTATTAATAAGAAAAGTAATTTACCAGACTGTTTCCAAAGCAACTTACAGAGCACTACTGGCAGCTGCTGCTGCAGACTCACTGATCACAGGACCTTTGGTTTCTGTCTCATCTATAACAAACCTGCCCAAATGACAGCAGTGGATTGTAAACTGTACATTTCTAAATCCTTTTTTCCCATTTTCCACATCGTCTCCACCTAACCTGTAATCACCAGTTTCCATCTTGTCTCACTGCAACGACTCCTGTACTGTACAGAGCCTAAGCTACTGTACAGGCGACTTAGTACCAGCTGTGGGAATTGCGTCCTCACTGACATCACTACAAAACCTGCAGGTGGCCTTTAAGTCACAGGAGTCTCCGTTGTGCTGAGAGTTCCCTTCCCCCTGTAGTGCTTAGGCAGAGTTTTTATTCTTGAATTAAAGATTTTTCAATGCAAAAGACAATTGAAGGGGTCAAATATTTTGCTGCAATTCAGTTCCAAATTTATGTAATCTATGATGTATTTTCAGAGCCAAAGCTTTCCAACACTCTGGGGGCATAGGGACTTGCAGTTTGCTGTCTCACAGAGGTTGGTCATTTCTGGTTAATGAGAGAAAGCTAAGAAGGCACAGGTTTATAAAAAATATATATGGAAAAACATCTGGAGCAGGAAACATATGCATAAGCAAAATATACAAATCATACTTCATAAAGTACATTTAAAAGCTGAGCTGATTGAGAAATCTTCTATATTACCAAGTTAATACTCTTTTTAATAAACATTTCTTACTAAGATAGCACACAAATGGTCAAACTGTCTCATACACAGTTTGGGCAAGTATGAAAGGCTGCTGTAAAATATTTTGATACTGATTTTCTTAGGATTTTTTAAGATCCCCTGTTGGGATTGCTTTGGTTGGTTTATGAAGGACAGTGGGTTCACAGCTCAGATGCCAATGCAAACCCCTTCAACAGTTTCCTGAGTGGCATACATTATGGGCAACCTACATTACACTTGTAGAGGATACATGAAAAATAATACTTCAGAGCTATCAAAGGCATTTTCATACAAGTGGAATAAACAGTGAAAATAATTAAATGAGACAAGACTCAAAAAAATTCAACGAGGCACATTTTTAACAGCAGAACCGGAAACATTTGGATTCCAGCAAAATCAGAAAATGCTTGTAGCTTTACAATGCAGCACATTAGGAGCCACATCAGAATACAAACTCACTAAATCCACCATTTTTTTCTGTTCCAGCAATTATGTTGTTAAAAATATACTTTGAATAGAACCAGATGAGGTGACCCACCCAGACAAGAGTCCCAAGGTGCACAGGAATGAGATGCTGGCCTACACTGAAACCGAAAAGATTTTCCACTGCCTGTTCCACACAGAAAGGAATACTAGAAATCTGAGAGGAAGTGGAGGTTTGGCTGAATGAGATAGTTACTGTTTGCATCTGTTCTACGAAAAGCAGAATTATTCAGTGTTTTGGGCAAATTGCTTCTACAGAAATTTGTTTCTTAAATGTCTCATTACAACTTGCTCAGTTACAAAAATGATGAGAAAAAATTAGAAATAAAATTATTTACTACGTTTAGGATTATACAAGTATAAATTAACATTACTATGAGATTCCATGTAGTGAAATTAATACTTCTTAATATCTTCTGGTAGTAAGATTTTCACATGCTCATTATGAAACTTAAGATCAATTTGAGATTAGTTGTTAAAATACATAATTTTCAGTTTCTTAGAAGCAAATATAAAATGAACTTTTTTCTCACCTGATAATACACTGCATGTTCTCCGTAATATGTTTTTAATTGACTTTGGCTTTTTCAAACTGCCATTATCTAAATATGCACAGTCTCTAGTGGTGAAGGATTTTAATAATTAAATATGCACTGCTAACAAATAAAGCAGTTATTTACAGACCACAGACCAAGATTTGACTAATAATCTGTAGCTGCACAGTATCAAAGTAGTTTCAAACTGCTAAAATGTAGATGAGACCAATGACTACCTAAATGAAGAAGCACTGTACTGAATGTCACTCTCAATAAACACATCCAAGTAAAGAAAATCCTCAGGTTATCTTAATTCATTACTCAAGGAATTTTCTCAAATTGGGGCTATTGTAATATGTTCCATAAATAATCAGATTTCTTCAATCTCTGAATGGCTCTTGTGCTCAGCACGGCAGTCTCATGACTATGTAATTAACTTGAACCCATGGATGACCTTTGAAAAAGGCTAAAACTGTGCATGCAATACATGTGCAGACTCTAAGGAGTCTGAATTATTGACCCCACTCATTAGCTAGGTAATAAAACTGGGCAGCCAGGTAATTAACAGAATGAAATGTGAATCTGTAAATAAAATAAGATTTTTTTATTGCAAACAATTGGTGCATCTCAAAAGAAAGAGCAATAACTTAACATGAAGCACTTTCTTTTTAAACACATCATATAGAGAAATACAGCTCAGCAGCCTACAATTTACAAAACCAAAAGCCTGGTCTTATTACTTCAAGAACATTTTACTTCACATCTCTTGTACAAATACTCCAATAAAGCACCGATGTGTATATTTTTTAAGCTCCAAAACATAGTTACAATAAAGGGAAAATATATTTTCTAGGGCACTCATTTCGCACTTCTTAACAAAGCCAACTGTTCCACTTGAAACCTATTTAAAATCAAATCCCTGAAAATGGGGTACCTGTTCTGGTTTTAATCCGGGGGGGACCCAAGCATATTCCTCCAGGGCACAGCCGGAGTCGTCGTCGGATGTGGAGTTTCTCTGGAAGTCGTACATGAGTTTGCTCACAGTCTTCTCCATTTCTAAAGGCATGACTGCAACAACATGCTCCTCCCGCGAGCACTTACAGTGAAGGCAGATCTTCCTGCAGAGAGCAAGAGACCCATTTTTGAGTTTAATGCTCTTAGAGAAACTGTTTAGTTGAATTAGCCCAATCAGCGGACGCTGGGACACAGAACTATAAACACATTCTTTGGCAGCATGCCTTTGGCAGGAACCCAACATATCCAAGGCACTTTAAAAAAAAATCTAACATTCGTGTCTTTTGGAATATAACCCCTACATGTTATGACAGCCTCAGAGGGTCAGGGGTTAAAGCTGGATTGTTAAACCTTGGAATCAGGCCTTTTCGCACTCTTTGGCCAAGAGCAGAACCAGAATGATTTCCTGACACCACCCCCACCACCCAATTATAATAATTACCTGTGGATACAAATAAATAAATGTCAAGTAGTGAATAACTAGTGACAAAAAAGGTTTTGAATTTCATTTGAGTGCAGAAGACTAAGTACTGCATGCTAACTAGTGCACCTACTTTAAACTTGTATATATATAATTTAGAACACGGAAATTATTTCCTTCTAATTAAGGATAGACAATGATATCTCTACTTAAGGAAAGACTCTAAGGATATCCTTCAGTGGGTAATCACTCTGAAGCCTGAAATTAACTTGGAATTTGAACATAGTGGAGATTCTGCCTTAAATGCATATGTAAATATCTGTAACTTCGCCACAGAGACTACACCCATCTGGAAACTGAAAGTGTTGGTATGTTAAATTACACTTCACTGAGTACAAAAAGCATTGTAAAAAAACTTAAGTGCTTCAGACATTTTTTCTGCAACAATACTTGTGTTTGCAACTAGTGTCAACTTTCTTTAGTCTATGAGTCTAACTTAGTTAAAAGCATGGACTTTGGCCAAAATTTCCTATTTCCTGCTATTCGTCAGATCAAAAATACACATACATCCAAAAAGACAGCCTGCATCTGGTTTGCATCCATCCAGCCAAGCAGACTCATTAGGGCCCATGGCTCTCCCTTTCAACAACATTGAGCCCAGAACCAGAGACTGCAAGCATAGAGATAGGTTAGCTGGCTACTGTTGTATAAAGCCAAATCCTGCAAAAACAAATCACCCATGCTCATTTCAAATTTCATTATTACTTCAAGAGCATAAAAGTCTTGAAAAAGCCAGGACAAATATAGGCTCTAAGCTGGTTTATAGCCCTTTTTTCCCCATTTAAAAAAATAATAATAAAATGCATGTATAATTCCAAAATTAAATCAACATTGTACACATACGCAGGTATTTGTTCCAGTGTTACATAAACACTGTCTTTGTAGTATAAAGTAGTATTTATTTCTCATTCTTTGCATTTATAGTATAAATAAAGCATTAGGTTCAAAATCCCAGACACTTTTTTACTTAAAATGTTTTCACTTGCCATTGATTAATAATGTCAATTGAATAATAATGTTTAATTGCAATTATTTAACATTTTACCATTTTAATTTTTTTCTTTCTTTGCATTTCACTGCTGTTCCGCACATGTAGCCTACAAATGATCATTTCATATTTGTGCACTATGAAAGCTTTTTTTAGTATAACCATTACCTTGACTTGAAATATCTGCATTGCATCAAATACAGGGAAATCTAATATCATCAGTGCAGAACAACTGTACCATTTCTTCATTTCTTTCACCATTAGTGAAATTCTGACTGTTGCCAAGATGTACACTACACAATTTCTGTATATAAAATTATCAAAATTTGTTGATACTTGTCACTGATAATTAATACACAACCTCTTGACAAACATTTTGTCAGGATAATTAGGGTATTTAAAATGTGTGGTTTTAATTGGCAGTGGTATGAAGTCATGGTTAGCAATCAGAACTCTAAACTGGAAAACTGTGGGTTCAGAAAATACGTGTACTGGTTTTGGATCCTTGAGGAATTAATGCCCTTCAGATTGCTTCTGTAAAATACCTAGCTGTCTAACCCAGCAGAAATGAAAACCAATATGATAAAAGCATCATCCAAATGAATATAAAATAATAATTGAAACAAAGCCACCAGTAGCCAGACTCAGAGCTGATACCATCACAGCTGTGACATGCCTGCTTCTGTATTGCCCAGTGCAAGGCCCTTTTCTCATAAGCGTGAGGTTTTTGTGTATTGCTAATAGCGTCTCTATAAATAGAGCCAATATCACGATGATTTCAATATACCGTCATACTTCAAGATTAATTTTGCAAAGGTTAAACAGATAAAAAAATAAAGGCAGAGATCGTTACCTTGTTAGTATTTTACCAGTTTTAATTTCCTTTAATGGGCCTTCTTGACATTGACTTAAGGAACATTATGCTTTAATAGTCTTCAAAAGGAATACAGGTTAATTAAATGTGTATAAATATGTTTCATAGTCTACTACACCCACAGATCTGGCACTAAGCCAGAGAAAAAGACACTGACTACATGTTTAGTGACTCCAAGTTTGCATTCCAAATTTAAAGAATAGAAACTTAATTAGTAAGATATTGAGATCATTCAGTTATGACATTTGCTGAAGGGTAAGTCATTTTAGAAAGAAAGCTCTGCATGACCTGGCCATCCACAAGAAATAAATTAGTACACCAAGATTATTTCACAACAAAACATAGGGATTGATCTTCATTACAAACTGAATACTGAAAAAATGGTAAAATCTTCAAAATCTTCCTCCCAAGACCTAAGAAAGATGAAAGTAAGAACCCTAAAGCTATCCTCTTATAGCTTGTTAAGTAACACAAATGACAGTAATCCTCTGTATCCATGTTTCAAGAACACAGCCATTTGGGATAGTGTTAAATTGTCAGATGCATTTCCAAATTCATAGAAACGGTGCAGATCCAATGTTGTGCTTAACCACACTCATATCAATTTGTAGACTAACACCATTTTATTTTTCTCCCCTCTGAAAGGATGACTGCAAAACCACTTCCCTTGGCAGAGTTTTGTCACAGTCTAAACATGGGACTGGGCAACATGTGGCATCATCCTCAAAGTGCCTGGTCCCTTTTCCTGCCCTTAAAGTAGTTTGATGTGGTTTCCAAAAACAATCCTACAAGCCTATTTAAAACAGTTTACAGATTCATTGTAGCTTTTCCAGAGCATCATTCCGAATGGATTAAACAACATCATTAAATGGCAGTTCTGCGTAGGAGAGCTCAGAACAGCTGGTTGTAAACAGCAGCCAATTTTTTTTTTGGGATACTGGGCCGACAGATCATTCTTTACAGCCCTCAGCTAGTGGGAGTCTGGAGGGAAGAATGTTTATTCAACGTTTTACTGTACATTCAGGAAGGTTTCTTATAAACTCAGTGGCACCCAAGTCCAACATAATACTGTGAAATACTCACATTCAGTGAAATACTGTTAAACATTTTCCCTTAGATGGAAAATACCACGCCTGAAAGATTGGAAAATGTAACATTGCACTTCAATTAATTTTGTCTTTTTAGTTCACTAATTGGACTCTGAGCAACCTCAATTTGCCCTGCTCTCTTTGTCAATTATTAGCATCTAATTACACCACAACCAAGCAATGTGTTCCACCTCTCAAACGTTACACTTACACCTGCCACCATAAATCATAACTCTATGGCTCCTCCCCATCAGTACCAAGGCACCTGTACAGACTCCCAGTAAATGAAACATGGTTCAGAAAAGACCATAGCAAAATTACTTCTAACATTGCTCAAATATACTGTTTTTTCATATGGATTCAAATAACACTCCTGAATAATTCATTCAGCAGGAAAATCTAGAACTTTTTAATGCTATGTTTAAATGTTTGTCCCATTGGTATTTCATGAAATATTTTCATTTTAAGATCGCAAATGGTTGATATGCCTTTATACTGAAGTGGACACAGAATGAGATTTTCTGCTATACTCCTAAATGTATTCCAAGCTTAATTTATTATGCAGCACTGAAGTTCTTATTAAGATATACAAACAGCAACTTACATCAAGAATAATTTACTGTAGGACAAATCTCTTAGATCACTGTGTTTAAAGTTTCAGGTACTGTAATGACTATATTCACAAGAATGACTGACATGGCTGTCTTTTCAGCTGTCTTGCTGGCTGTAAGACGCCATCTGTGAAAGCAATCAGTAGGCTTGCTGTTTGTGTTTTCTGACACAAAATAAAGGAAAATGCCTTGAGCAATACAAAACATGACATTTATTGTCTGCTGTAAGGATGTATAAATTGCAACTCGCAAAAATGTTAATTACAAATCCAAACAAATAAAAAAGTACACTTTATATGAACCAGCTGCCTCTATATGGAGGTTGTTTTTTTTGACAAATATACAAAAATGGATCAAGATGTCCTTGAATCTGTACAATAGCAGAATAAAAAGAAAACTACTACAGTCGTTGCTGCGATTTTGCGGAAGTAGGGGTACATCTGCCAGAGTCACATTATCTGGCTGTTTACTCTCTTCAAATGCTAATGCAGGATGACCAATTTTAGTTCCATCAATCCTTGGGACGGCCAAGCCATCGTATCTTCAAAACAAAGGCTGCTCCGATTGGAACATTTACAAGAACACAGGTCATGTCTACATCACAAATGGGTGCACATAGAAAATTGCCTCTTATCTTGGCAAAACCTGGAAAGCAACGCCATGCAAATGGGGCACTTTGCAGGGGATTAGGAGGAAAGTAATTTTATTGTCTGTGAATATTAGCAGAGTGCCAATATAAACCAAAATAAATTGTATATACTGTTAACTGCTTCATAGCAGCTGATGACCATTACACAATGGCAGTCCCCATAATCCAGACACGCACACAAAAATGGACAGTTACCCTACAATATAGTACATCTGATATGTCCATGTGTACTATTATACAGGCTACACTAATCTTCAGAATTATTCAAAAACAATTCGGAATGTACAATGCACTGTATGACTTAGAAATATGTGAGTAATGGTATAATCAAATTTGATGTGGGGGTACTTTGTAGTGGTAAACCTCACTTCCTTAAGGACAATACTACAAAACATATATTCCTTGTCATTTGAAAAAGGCAAGTAAATCCAGTTAGTGCTGTTTATTTGACTTTAAGTGTTTCAACTCTAACTACTGGTACTAGGCATCCCACAAAAAAAAAAAACAGTGCCACATGAAATAAAATAAATCAAATAAGCATTCCAGAAACAACGCAAGACAACTCGCAGTAAGATCAAAATCAAGACAACTGAAACATAAAATGTAAAGCAAAACAATCTGCTAGCACAGAAAACATAACATGCTTTCTTACCTTCAAAATGAGAAGCAGTAAACTAATCCATACCTGCTTCCCAACAGTGGAGTTAGTTTTCAGAAAGCTGTGCTCGGTGCATATGCAGTACTGTGATGCAATGAAACATCCCACTCAGACTCCTCTCTCTGTGCCACTGCAAGCTGTTTCTGTGTGGACTGAGCAGTGAGCCTTTGTCAGAGCCTCTCAGTAAACACATACATCAAACTTGCAGATTCCTGGAAGCCGTCCTACAGAGACAAGCCTCAGTCTCTCAAGCAAATGTCCTTGTGCTGGAGTTTCAGTAATATAGATTGTCTCCTTTTTACAATTTGGGCTTTGTTCCTTCTCCTCCTTTCAGAAAACAGAATCTCTCATCCTCTCCCTTTGCAGCCATCTAAATGTATCCAACAGACTCTGCTTCCAGGGTTTCTTCCTAAATGAAGCTCACAGGCAGGAAAACTGGCATATGTTTAACTTGATCTCCAAGGTCTCCCTAGCACAAGACATTTCAAAGGAAGCATGCAGCTCTGCTTCAGTAATGACTGCCAGCCCGGTTACTGAGCAGCCCCGCTTGCTGATGCAGTCTACACACCTCCTGCATGCTAATGTGGCCAGTGATGTCAGCAAGCCAATGTCCTTACATCGGTATAATTAGCAGTTTGAATGACTGGTATTTTAGGTTCATTTGCATGTAAATCGGGCAATTTCCCTCAATCAATAGCCCAAGGGTAAGTCACACTTTAGTGAAAACCACAGGATCTGCCCAAAGGAAATGGATCACATTTCGGAGTGGACAAAATAGTGTGAGCACTGAACCTTACTTTATCAAAAAGTCTTCAAAACATAGTTATGAATTAATCATTAACCACCAGCAGATATTGCTGCTATGACATTCAGAATAATATCCTGATTCCCAAGTTAACCATTAAATGCTTAAAACTCTGCATTTGTTTGCTGTCAAGAGCTTTCGATACCCACATTTTAAATGGCCTTAATCAGCATGTGGGTTTAATTTGTTTGACGTTTCTTCCTGACTTCAGACTGATTCACACTAAGGGTTTAAACTTTGCAGTTAGTATAGATCTGGAACAAAACATTAACACAGCAGTTACACATTAATTTGTAATTCATAGAGCCCTTCACTGTAGAAAATATCTGACAGAGTTGAATGACTGTTGGGTGGTCAGATCCTGAACTTTTTCTCACACGAGACTAACCCTATTGCGCTTTCTTCTAATTTTCTCTGTTTTGCTTAAGTGATAATGGTGTTTCATTTCACTGGTTTTCCTAATAGGAAAGTCACAGCTCCAGGCATTCCCAGTGGTAATACTTTTCCATATTTCTGAAAATCGAAGTATACCTGACTGTTTAACAGTTTAATTATATTACTTATTCAAAAAGTCCATTAGAAACCATGTAAAAATAAATAGTTTTACATACATGAAAAGCAAGCCTATATATACAGTATATAGCAAAGGTCTACACATTAATACACTTGATTAAATGTATAAAACTGTGGTTTTAAAGCTAAGGAAGCTTGAGGGCATCAAATTAACTTGGCAAATCAGAATAATATAAAATTGAGAAGCAGACTACATTATTTTAGATTGTACACTTGTAATGGTAAAAATTAAATCTGAGATCTAGATATGTTAACCAATTTAAAGACAACTTAATACAAAAGACAGACTATAGCTGCATTTAAAATTGCACTAAGCACAGCAGTATCACTATTAGTTTAGAGCAAATTAAAAAAAAACCTACTCTGGGGACCACATAAGATTTAGTCACAATGGTACAGCATTCATCCTCATTCATATAAAAGTTATCTGTATTTGTCATCACAATGTGACTAACTTGAAAACTGTTAAGGTAGCACTGTCTGGAAAATTCTAGACGCAATTATAAAGTACAGTCAATAATGAGGCCCCAGTTTATTATTTACCCTGTTGAGGTGTAGTGACCTAGAACTATGATGTAAGGATATCACCTGTTTATTTTCAGACTTGTACGTCTTAACCTTACAAACTACTAATGCTAGAGTGCTCTTGAGCTGCTAATGTCTTGTGCACTTGCTAACTGAATTAGTGTCAGAAACGTTTAACAAAAACACACACAGCTCTATCTTTTCTTAGGTCCTTGATGAGAACAAAATTAGGTACTAACAAAAGCCCCCTCCAACCTAATCAAAGCAATTAAAATGGATATCTGGATTTGGTTTAAGTGTAAACAGTCTGAGAAGTCAATTAAGATAATTACATGCATTTTGTATAACGCTTTTCATCCAAAAGGATCCTAACATACTTTACACAGAGGAAGGAACCAACTTCACCTAGGTGACTTGAGACAACAATTTTGTATCGGAAACCATGTTTTCAGGTGGAACAGTGATCATTTTCATTACCCACTGAATTAAGAGGAATTTTTAGATAAATATATGGAAGCCAAAATGTGAAATTTAACCAGCATACCTTGGTAAAGAGCCCTGCTCTTACAGTATAAACCCCACCAAGGGTTCTTTAATGACCGAGATGTCCAGACCTCCATTTAATATCTCATCTGAGGGACAGCAGCTCTAACAGCAGTGTGTCCAGTTTCCTGGCTGAGGCACTGGAATCTTCACTCAATGGATAGGTCCAGTTACACTTAAGTGTGACATGCACTTCAATCTGTAAAATTTTACCAAGAGCCAGTAATACAGTATTATAAAAAATAGCCACTGTGTTTTAAAGATTTCACTTGCGAAGAAAAAAATGTATAAAATGTTCCTGTGAATGTGTCTCCATTTCGGACAATACTTTATCTAACAGAGTTATTCAGACCTTATCAAGGAAGGAAGCAAACAGAAAAAAGTCTTGCTTTGATAAACAACAACACGCCTCCAATAACAAGACTGCTGGCGCCACAAGGTGTTCTAAAGCTTACAAATACATTGCTCTCGCGATAAACTCCACATTCACTGAATCGCCAACATTCTGTCTTTAAAAAAACAGTAGTCTTTGATGTGGAAAATGTTGATGGAATCAGTCTACATCAACAAAGTAGAGGTCACAGCCCAGTCCAGCCCATAACTGATTACTTTGGCTAGCCACAGTTCTGTGCCTATAAAGATAACCAAGTGCCCATCTAAGATTAGGCAGCCTTCACACCATGACACTGGAACTGATTTCCTTTGCACCCCAGCAAGCTTCCTGTTGTAAATTGAAAAAGAGGAATTACTTCCTATAATTTCTCCACTGTAGTGTTTCCAGTCTCGACCTGAATTTTTCACGTTTTGTTGCACGTGCTGTTACACAAATACAGAGAGAACACCAGCCGCCACCACCACCACCACTTACATTTAGGAGCCAATTTTAATATAGGAGCAAGTAAATGTTTATTCCATGCTGAAAAGAGAAGAAAGGAAACACAACGTTTTGGCTCACACCCAAAGAAGACTCCACAGCCAAAACGTTGTGTTTCCTTTCTTCTCTTTTTGGCATGGAATAAACCTTTATTTGTTCCTTTGCATCCTACACATGCTGACACAGCTACCTACTTGAACAATTTAATATATACGCATCAAGAAGAAAGACTGCAAGACAAACTGCAATATTTAAAATTGATTTATACAGACATTATTTTCTATACAGACTAATCCAATTATACTATACTGTGCTGCTCCTATTTTCAGGTAGGCAGGGAAACAGCATGTATGATCTGTAGCTGGAATGAATTTGGAGGTTAGCTCCACGGAAGCAGCCCGTTTCTACCTCTGTGGCCCTGTATGAGCACAGCACATCATCAAACTGTTGTTAACACATTTATCAGAACATCTCCTGCTAGACAGAAATCATCTCAAGGGCTGACTAACTTACATTTGACCTACTTTCATAATCCATATGCTGCAGCCTTATACATTTTAATTTGGGGGTGGATTTATTAAAAATATGATTATTATATGAATATATGATATTTATTAAGAAAAAAAAAGAGAAAACTCAAAATTACACCCAATATTCTTATAAGTGGAAATAAAATTATACACAGAATTGTATATTTCTAGAAAGTATATTGCATTCAAAATGTACAAGTGGGGAATTAATAAGAAGGCAGTTCTGAACTGATTCACACCACTGTTAGCTTTCTCCAGATGACAGAATATAAGATATTTTAATTTCTTATAAAAATGAAAAATTAAAATTTACTGAAAGTATTTTACTGGAGGAATTCAGGTAAAGTATCGCACTCAGGGATACAACAATGTCTCACCCAGGATTTGAACCCACAGTCTTCCAGTCCAGCACCCTAACTACTGCCAGTTGCACTGACAATCGAAAAATGATTCAGTTCTTTTATTGTAAATTAAATATTAATTTAAGAAGGTCCAAGTGTGCCAGATATAAAAGTGGCATTTGTCCTTTGTAACACAATGAAAAGTACTCCTCCACCTTAGGAAAACTAGATATTCTTCCAACTGAAGTCATCATTCTTGTGAGCAACTAATCAATATGAGAATAGCAGCAGATGTTAATACTTTTCTCATCTAAGCGGAACAAATTACTTGCACTCTGCAAGGAGGCTGAGTCATGTGACAGTTGTCTGTGTACCTGTAGTCAAGGTCACTATGGTGCTGGGTTCGTTGTAGATGTCTTTCATGTTCTCCTGAATGGGCACAGCTGATAAATACTGGAGATTAATATGCAGTGAAGTTCAGCACATAAAGCATACTTAAATCAAGTGAAGGCAAGCATGCACCAAATTATATTTGCACAACTAAAGCTTTTTAAAAAAAATATTAAAATGAAATATAATGTTCATTTGGCTTAAAAATCTAAAAGTGCTAATTGTACAAATATAGCACATAGCAAAATATCTAACTCTTTAATATTTTACATTGTAAAAGTTTGAAGATGTTTCCATCCATAATTCAATTTTTTACTACAAAGGAAAGGCATTTCTAAAAAAAGGTCAAAGGAAATTGCATGATGCAATGCACAGTAATAAAAAGAGTTCAGTTTTAGTCTTCCCTCTTCTGTTCCAATTAAAAGTGAACCTGTTCAAAACTTTTACTCTTCCATGAGTTCTCTGTAATGGCCATTGAGTCTTTCAATTAAATGCATAAAGCCCAAGTATTTGTTAAAATATTTTGCATGGGAAGAGTCCAGGAGGTATCCAAGTGTTGAATGAATAGTGGTTCTGCACACTACTTCGTTGATCAAACTTGCCTTACACTTTTATTTTTGCTTCCTTGAGATGAATTATGCCTCTAAATTGGAGTTCATACCTTAAATTCATGAAAAATCGAATCGCCCTATAAGAAAAGGCTTATAGTTTAGGCACAAGAAGCTTTGGCATGGTCCTCTTGGCTGACAGCCAACCACCTGGCCACAGGATACGGAAGTTAGGACCTCATATAGAGAGAGAAATTAACTCTGGGGTAGTGGGAGATGGAGGTTGAAGAGGGATGCAGAAAAATGAACGCAAGCAAGAGAGGCTTACGAAGGTATTTATAGTTTTTTCAGGAAGTGACACAAAGGATTACAAGTTAAGAATAGCAGAGGTGGGGGAGACCAGGGTTACTGTCATCCCTCGT